GTTTATTAGGTTAAGGGTCGACGTTCTTTTGTCCTCTGCGTTTGACCCGTTCTTCAGTGTCTCTGGGTTAAACCTGTCAGGAGCAGTAGGACATATCTCAACATTTTGGAGCTAGTCTTGGTCAGGACTACCTCAGCTGAAGGATTTGACCTGTTGTGGATTGCCGATGACAGTTTAGAATGAAGTCCTTAAATGTTTGAAAACGGTAAAAACTCGGGGACTTAAAGACGTTCTACCTGATTTTTCCTGTCTCAAAAACGTGAAAAACAGAACAAAATCTTTTTAAATACCGGTAGTTTGTAGTGGTACAAACTTATTCCTTACTCCTTTTGTATTCAGATTATTCTAATTTATAAGCACTTTTCACAACTCTCAGAAATCAGAGCAAAGTTTTTCCCTCATTGTAAAGCAATAACTAGCATGCTAACTGCACAATTCCTGATTAGACATTACACAGTGGACTTGTTTGGATCAAGAGCTGCTTATGTAACATATCTGTACTGGGCTAAGACGTGTTTTGCTCAAGTGCATGGGAAAAACTGGTGTAGAGGGCAGAGGAGCAGGTGCTAAGTTGAGAGAACCACAGAGCCGCCACCACAGACCTGAGTCTGGCCTGCCCTGGTGCCTCCCCCTGGTGCCTCTCCTGGTGCAGACCTTCTCTGTTCCATCACACCGTGTGTTTCCCTCCCACAGATTCTCCATTCAAGTGTGAAGATCTGACACCTACATCAAACCAAACCTCTGCAACCACGTCTCTCCTCAGCACTCAATATCATCATGCTCCTGCTCTGCTACTACTGCCTCTGGTCTGGTGTTGCTACTGCTACTACTACTACTACTACTACTACTACTACAACTACTACTGCTACCACTACTACTACTACTGCTACTACTACTACCACTACTACTACTACTACTACTTCTACTACTATTACTGCTGCTGCTACTGCTACTACTACTACTACTACTTCTACTACTACTACTACTACTACTACTACTACTACTACTACTTCTACTACTATTACTGCTGCTGCTGCTACTGCTACTACTACTACTACTTCTACTACTATTACTGCTGCTGCTGCTACTGCTACTACTACTACTACTTCTACTACTACTACTACTACTTCTAATTCTACTACTACTGCTGCTGCTGGTACTAATACCAGCTACAGCTCTTGCTATTTCAAAGTCAGTGCTCTTTTGCAATTTGATGGAAAGAAGTTATAATCTCATTTTGTGTTCAAATACAAGCGTTTCTCCGTGGAGATAGTTAGCTTTAATGCCAGACTGTTGGAAATATATAGCTACCACAATGAAGATAAAAATGCTCCTTTTTAGTAATAAAATGTAATTCTTACATACAAAATAATAGTACCTTCTTTATGTTACCATGAGATCTTACAATAACAAATAGTTCAGGAAAGCTCAAATTTTGTCCTGTAAACATGATTTCTTGCATCATCAGTGCTTGTTGAAATGAGTATCTACTTCTGATATTAGTTTTAGTATTGATTGGTATCTGATTTTCGACTCTGATTTTTGACAGCCCTTTTTTATTGTTGTCTCTCTGCATCTCCACAGCGTCTTAAGAGTATTCACATAGTTTAGAAGCCACACTGTGTTTGGCTCTTGTGTGGAGTTGTTATTGAAGTAGTGGTCTCTGCTACACAGAGTTGAGGTTGAAGCGCCCGGGCGTCAGTGTCCGGGCTTCCCCCCGTCTCACTTACATCTGTTTGTTTTCACATGTCATCTGTTTGCACATTTTTCACCTTCTTCAATTCAGACTCAGACAAAACAACAGTATTACACAATTACAGCCAAGTCCAGCTGCACCACTGCAGGATTCATCACAACTTATTAAGCACCGTAGTATCAAAAATCACATACAAATCAGTAGTTAAACTAGTATCGGAAATCTAGTTTCATCACAGTTTTATCTTGAGTTTGATCAGAACTAGTGTATAAAAACAACTGCTAATGTTTAGTATTGAAAAGTGACAATATTGTCTAAAAAAAAGAGTACAGACTTACTATGGGGAACATAAAAGTTTTCACATTTCAAGATGAAATTAGTGAAAAAAGTTAAATAAAATTTTAAGTAAGTTTAACATTTTTAAAATTGTTTTGAAGGATTTTAGAAACCATTAAAAAATCTAATATCAAAACAATATTGCATTACATCATCGGTTTGTAGAATTGGAGGATGGGGATTTCCTAGTAAATAAGTAAATATTATTTGCATGTGTATATAACACATGGACATCAAAAGAGAGGGCGGCTATGTTTTACTTACATTACATTTAAAACCACAGTGTGTAACATTTTAGACTCAAATAAATGCTTGTTTTGTCAGTTTGGTTTATTGCACTGATTTTGTTGATTTATTCAGTTTATTGTGCTGAAAAACTTAAAAACACATGGGTTTCTATGAGTGGGCCTTGCACCTCACAAACCTGACTCTTACTTGGCCTGAAGGAGGTGGCACATTCTACACCAGAAAAGTTACACAGTGAACCTTTAATCTAACTGGATTCCTAGAGAACATTGCTAATATGAGAAATTAAGTTGTAAATAGATTTATAATTAAATCCTGACAGTATCCTCCCTTTGCTGTAACGACAGCACTGCAAACCCTTGTCCTTCTCTCACTGAGCGTCATGATGAAGTTCCCTGAAATGGTTTTCACTTCACAGCTGTGCCATGTCAGGGTCAAGAAATGGCGAAAGTGCAAAGCAGGTTAAAGCAAAAGGAGGCTCTTTAAAATATATGTAGAACAGGTTTTAAGTTCTTTTGAGTTTATCTTGTGGAATGTTTTGATAAATTCAGTGAGTAATTAATCATGAAAAAGTGTGTCTCAAATTTTGTCTGGTAGTGTAGCAAGGTATATAGAGAGAAGGAGGGAGACATATGTAGAAGGAGGGTGACAAAGAGAGAGAGAGAAGAGAATGAAAGCGTAGTGAGAGAGACATGCTGCAACGCTGTGTAGGAGTGTGCTTGTACAGAGGAGGTTCCGTGCGTGTTGTGGTGCGTTCGGGGGCACTCTCTGACGCTGTGAATGTGTAAACGTGAACGCCGTGAGTGTAGGACGAGGTGTGACGCGTTCAGGTTCAGCCACCGAGAGGACACATCCACCCACACGTTACTGCGTCTGCACCATCACTGCACCAAGAAGAGGACAGAGGACAATCAGGCCTGTCACAAGGATCTGACGTTAACCGACTAAAACTACTACTACTAAAACTAGTATCGAAACTAGATACTGATTTTAGCAGATATCACAACTAAAAAGTCACATTCACAGGACAGAAATTATTCTTGAGCTTGAAAATCACATTCTATTGTCTAAAGAAAGAGTTTAGTTTTTTATTATTGTGGCATCGAAATCTGTATTGAGTATCGATTTTATTCCTTAGTATCGAAATTGAGTTTGAAATTTTATTACTTTATGTATTTAAAGATTCATTCTAGTGGAGGGTTTGCCACTTGATTTTCTCATGGAGATTTTATTGCTTTACCAGCTTTGTTGCAAAGTATGGCATTAAAGTGATATAGTGACACAGCAGTTTTTACAGTGTAAACATAAAGCTTATTTGGAAATCGAGACACGGTTCCAGATAGTGTTGTCATGATACTAAAATTTTAAACTCAATTTTGATACTAAGGAATAGACTCGATACTCGATACTCATTCCGATACCACAATGTTGATAAATACTGTTACTACTACTACTGCAGTACACCTGGGCTCTAAATCCCATCATCATCAATATGATTTCTGACAACACTAAAACAGCTATATACTACTACTACTACTACTACTGCTACTGTTTCTGTTACTACTGGGGATGGGCATGATTAGTCGACTAATTGATAATTGATCATTAAGAATTTCGTCGTTCATTTTTAACTGACAAACCAAATGTCTGAATAGCGTAAGGAGACAACACTGGACTTGCGGCGTCACAGTCCCACGTTTGGGCTCTGGCTCCTCCTTGGAGACACTGTAGCTCTCAGTGAGTGTGTTCACATGCACATCAGTGTCCCAGGTATGATCAGGTTTTTCGAGTATCCCGGTTTCATCATGGTGCATGTATACGCAGTATCCCGGTTACTGCAACATCAAGTTGAGTGTGCATGTGTCAGAGAGAAACACTTTTCAATCTTTTCATCATAACAGTTGCCAAAATAAATAAAGTGACCAATATAAATAAAGTGAAATGAGTTAAATTAAATAAATAAAGAGCTGCACTAAACCTGCACACGTCTGATCTCTGAAAACATGAACCATCTCCAAACATGAACCATCTCCGTCATCATCAACACCCCTCTGTCACAGAGAGAACGCTCATATTCGTGTCTTTAGTCCGACAAAAGCTGACGCATCAGTGCACAAGGAAAGAGCAGTTTTTTTTTAGCTTACAGTTTATGAAAATTAGCCATGCAGTTTTAAGTTTCGTTTCTGTAAAACCGAAGCAAATGTTATTTTGTAATAGATAATGATGAATACAAGTGTAGGTAGTGTAGAGACATGGTTCCAGATAGTGTTGTCACGCTACAAAAATAATCAATACTGATTCCGATACCACAATTATAATTTAAAAAAAAATTGTCCTTCTTTAGACAGTAGAATGTGATTTTCAACATTAAATAGTAGTACTTTCTTTACTTTTCGCATGTGGTTTTATATGTGTGTAATCCTCAGTGGTCCAGGTAGGTTCCATAGTGCTCCATGGGTGTATACTAGTCTATGTGCTCTTATACTTGTTCTGATTCAGCTCAAGAAAATTCTAAAGCTGTTCAGGAAAGGTTCATTTCTGTCTGTGAATGTAACTTTTTTAGTACCAATACCTGTTCAAGATTTGATACTATTTTTTTGCAGCAATTTGTATCTGATTTTCGATACATTTCACAATCCTTTTTCCAGATAATTATGTTTTAGTAAAGTGTGGTAAAAGCATGTGGTTTTTGCAGTAGATTGATCTTTCTTTTGTTGTTCAGTTCCCAGAGAGCAGCTGCTGCAGACGGAGGAGTACGACCTGAATGTGGTGCGTCTGTGTATCCAGGTTTATCTGCAAGACGACAACGGACAGTACACCAGAGCTCTGAATCCTATCGTCACTAATCCCATCTATGACAACCGTGAGTACTACTACTACTACTACTACTACTACTACTACTACTACTATAGTACACCAGGGCTCTGAATCCTATCGTCACCAACCCAATTTATGACAACAGTGAGTACTACTACTACTACTACTACTACTACTACTATAGTACACCAGAGCTTCAAATCCTATCATCACCAACCCAATCTATGACAACAGTGAGTACTGCTACTACTACTAGTACTACTATTACTACTATAGTACACCAGGGCTCTGAATCCTATTGTCACCAACCCCATCTATGACAACAGTGAGTACTACTACTGCTCCTACTACTACAGTACACCAGAGCTCTGAATCCTATTGTCACCAACCCCATCTATGACAACAGTCAGTTATATACACAACTACTACCGCTACTACTACTACTACTACTACTATAGAACACCAGGGCTCTGTATCTTATCACCAACTCAATCAAACAGTGAGTACTGCTACTGCTACTACTACTACTACTACTACTACTACTACTACTACTACTACTACTACTGCAATACACCTGGACTCTGAGTCCTATCGTCGTCAATATGATTTCTGACAACTGTACAGTATAGTTATATACTACTACTATAACTACAACTGATACCACTACTACAACTATTTTTTTACTCATACAGCAGCCTATATCGGGTCTCTGTGATGCTGTTATTTTAAGTCTAGATAAAGATAAATACAAGTGTAGGTATCATCTTTACCACAGCCACACCAGCCCTGTCACTGTGCACATGTACGCCAAAAGGAGTGGTGCACTAATGATCCCTTGAGCTCACTTTAGACTCATGTAATCATAATACTGGGCCTGGCCTGCTTAAAAATAAAAAAGGTAGACTTTTTTTTATGAAACCAGTTATTCTCTAGATTAGAAATGATACCAGAAGATTCTTAGAAATCATCTTCCAGAGACAGAGGGAAGTCTTCATCTTCACTCGTTTGATTATGATTCAATAAATATGAAATATGCCAAACTGGAATACTGAATGTATATTATGTCAGTATAATTTGTTTTACTATCTTTACTGGAACGACCTTCATTGGTATTACAAGTTGAAATGCCACTGATGATATAAACAGTGAGAGGTGAGTCCATAAAAGTCAAATAAAGGGGCGTGGCTAAATATCAAAACAATAATGAATTTCATCACAGGTTTGTAGAACTGGAGGATGGGGATTTCTTGAGAGTAAATATTACTATTTGCATATTTACAGTGGTAACACATGAACGTCATCAGTACTGCTGCACCAAGGAGCACAGAGTGTAACTTTTTAGACTCAAATGTTCTGTCAGTTTGGTTTATTGCACTGGTTTGGTTTATTTCGTTAGCTATTGCACTGAAAAAACTTAGAAACAACTAACGATGCATCGTGCAGCTTTGTCAGTTCTGATACTGATTTTGATACTAAAGCTTTAAGTATCTGCCAGTATCAGATATCAGCCGATATCAGTACAGAGACTGAAAACAGCATTTATCTCCTTTAAAATAAATAAAAGCTCTAACATTCTGAGACTTTCTGGGCTGACTATGACCAGTAAACAGTCTTATTATTATTACTACAGTATTATCTAACAGTCCTCTCCAGCATATTGTTCAGTATCGGTGCCGATATCCAATACTAGTATTGGATCAGTGGTTCCTTAGAAACAACATGTGTCCCTACTGTGAGCAGGCTCATCTCCACCAGCCTATTTGGTCTGAGGAGGGCCTCCTCATCTTGTTTCCATGAAAATGGAAACATCTTCATGGAGACAATAAGATTTCAGATCCTCCATCAGAAAAGTTGCACAGTGCACCTTTAATCTAACTGGATTCTTAGAAAACACTGCTGTGATGGCGACATGATGTGGTGTGTAACACATGGAAGTTGCCTTAACAGTTTGGTTGCAAGAGTCATGTGGACATACACATGTGTTCCTCCCAGAGTCTGGATTTTTCCCACAGTATTTTATTAAATATGTCTGTCTGCATTTATTCCTTTACAGATGTTTTATTGGCAAAAAATACTCTCTGACCTGGTGAAGTCACCTGCTTGTCCTCAAGAAGATAGAAGTTTAAAGAAGACATATTGTGCTTTTGTCTGCTATAATCTTTGACCTCATGGATCATTATGTTACAATTTGAACATTTTAAATCACAATATTGATCTAAAACCACCACACGGTGACTTCAGTGTCAGAAAACTGCGGTGTCCACCCCTCCTACATATACCTGCACATCTCACCAGTGAGCAGCAGATTCTTTTTTCCCATTTGTCCTAAAATGATTCTGCAGTGCTGCCAAATCCTAAGTGTATCACTGATTTAAAGAATAAAATTGGAGAATGAATTAAGTACAGAGCAGCGGGTGTGTCTCGGTGAAAAAAAGTAGATCAGAAATATGACGTCTTAAATAAAGGAGAAGAAAGATTACTCAAACATGCAGGAATCACTCTAAATACAACTTCCAGTGGGTAAATGGGAAGGAAAACTATAACACAGTTTTTGCATAATAGCTTAATACTATAAAGTCACAGACCCTCCACCAAAAAAGTGACACAGTGTCTCTTTAATCTAACTGGATTCTTAGATAACACTGCTGTGATGGGGACAGAGTATCATGTGAAACAGGTGGAAGTTGCCTAAACAGTTTGGTACATTCAGTTCGTTTTCAGATATTGTTAAAGTTGTGTGGATGTGTATAAAACTACACTGTGTTCCTCCCAGAGACTGAAACAGGAAGTAGTTTATACACTCTGACCCCAAAAAAGCAGCGTTACCATGGCGCACTTCCTCTTTGGACCGATCATGTGACCTGTGTCTCAACCAGCTGCAACTGTAAAATACAGACTGAACTGGTGGAAATACAGATAGTGTTATTTGTCTTTTAGCAGTCATTTTTTTTGCATTGTTTGTTTTCAGTTGTTAGTGAAACTTGTCTACAGTTTTGGTCCTGAAATGTTGTTCAGTAATCCAATTTGTTATTTTAACTATATTTTTAGCTGAATATATATAGGCACAGTGTTTCCAATAGTGTTGTCACGAATCACGATACTAAAATTTGATTTCACTACTAAGGAATAGACTCAATACTCAATACTGATTCTGATACTACGATGAAAAAAAAAAAACCTCTTTCCTTAGACAATAGATTTTCAGCATTAAATCATAGTATGTTCTGTTCTATTCCCTTGGGTCTTATATGTGTGTAATTCCTCAGTGGTCCAGGTAGTGCTCCATGGGCGTGTACTAGTCTTCTCCTACTACTACTACTACTCTTAGACTTGTTTGGATACAGCTCAACATCATTCTGAAGACGTTCACTAAGGGTTCATTTCTGTTTCCTAGTTACCATGCAGGTGTGTCCTCCCATCTTCCGTACAATTACCTTTAATCCACTGAAATAGGAAACTTTATATCAAGAAGCTGTAATTAGAGGTTAGAGAAAGTTAAAACCACACTTCAGAACATTTTCTAAGGATATGTTTTATGCCATACTATAAAATATTACAGTCAAAGGAACAGAAATTTCATGGAAAGAGGCAGGAGGAAGCCCAAATAAGAGTCAGGTTTGCGGAGATGCAACCTCTGTCCTAGACATGTTTTTTCAGTGCTATACATGCAACCAAAATGAAAGGAAAACATGCTGTTATTGTGCTTTATTGGTGCGCAGTCTCCTCTATCTAAGGAGATTATCTTTGTTGCCGTTTCTATCACAGATTATTTTTCTTGAGCCACACAGTCCACATATTTGAAGGGGCCGGACTTTCACCTTCATTTTCACCAAAGCATCACCAGGGCCACCACATGATGAAGTGTGACATGTGACCTGCTGCAGAGGCTGTGGAATACAGAGAGCAATCCACTCGAGATTTAAAGCCACTGGTGACATTTAGTGACTCACCTTGAGGCCCATACCAGCCTTTTGTCATTTCATTTTCATTGGATTTGTTTGGCTAAAAAGTTACATACTGTGGCTTTACAGTAAAATATACATGTTTAAACGGTTAAATGCAGTAGATAGCATATTACATGTAGTTTGTCCATGTACACTACTGGTCAAAAGTTTTAGAACACCACACTTTTTCCAGTTTTTTACTCTTTACTTCTGACCAAAACATATTCTGAACTTTTGATTGAATATAGAGAAAAATCCCGCACACCGTTTTACTTGCAAATTGTGAGATTTGTTTGGACAAACCGTGCAACATTTCGGCAAACTGTTTGCCTGACGAAGGCCTAGTGCCGAAACGTTGCACGGTTTGTCCTAATTAATCTCACAATTTGCAAGTAAGACGGTGTGCGGGATTTTTCTCTATGTTCTAAAGCTGCTCCCTCTCTTCCAACACATCTGTCTCAAGAAACTGATGTGTGAAGTTCTCATTCTTTTAAACTTTTATATATATGATAAATAAATAAAAGTAATAAATAACTGGAAAAATTAGGGTGTTCTAAAACTTTTGACCGGTAGTGTATATGTGGCTGTAGTAAGTTTGCCTGTCAAATTCTGATTTAACTCTGGAAATCATGTCTCTTTTTCCATTTGTGTCCCAGGATCTCCAAACACGGCCGAGCTGAGGATCTGCAGAGTCAACAGGAACAGTGGAAGTGTCAAAGGTCAAGACGAGATTTTTCTCCTGTGCGACAAAGTGCAGAAAGGTACAGCGCCCCTATCTGAATAAACATATAAACAACATATATCTGCTTTGTTCACATGCTTGGTCTCCAGTTACAGTAATAACACCAAAGATTAAATCAAAAGCAGATGTGGGTAGAGTAGAAAATTGTACTCAAGTAAGAATGACGTACTTCAAAATAATATTACGCCAATAGTAGTGGTTCAAGAAATTACACAAGTAAGAGTAAAAATAGTATTTGGGAAAGCTCCTACTTAAGTAAGAGTAACTGATTTATAATACTTTACTTGTTCCTCACAGTGGACTTAAGACTGTACAAAATATTATTCAAGTAGGAGTAAAAGTAATAGAAAAGTACTCAGTAAAAGTAATAGAAAACTACAGTTTCAAAAGTTACTCAGACTTTCTTACTAACTCCATATCTATCTTTCTCTTCCTTCTCTCTCTCTTTCCCCCTTCTCTCCTCTCTCTTTATCCATCTTTCACTTCCTTCTCTTCACTTCCCTTTGGCTCTCATTTCTTCTTCCACAGATGACATCGAGGTGCGTTTCTTCGCCCCAGACGGGTGGGAGGCTAAAGGTTCCTTTTCACAGGCTGACGTTCACAGACAGGTGGCGATAGTGTTCAAAACCCCAGCATACTACAACCCCTCCATCACTGAGGCGGTGCTGGTGCAGATGCAGCTCCGGAGGCCTTCGGATCAGGAGGTCAGCGAGCCCATCGACTTCAGATATCTGCCCGACGACAAAGGTGAGGTTGATTTTATGATCTACATTATTGCTCTCCTCTGGGTCACATTGACCTGAAGAATTTCTTTTTTCCTTCCTGCTCTCTTGGGGCGGATCAATCAGACCCAAACCCTGCAGATTAAAACTGAGTTCTGCTCTCAGAAACAAAACACTGTTTCACCTTATGATGTCATTAAGAGTAATACAGGAAGTGCTCCGCAGTGGCTCACTCTGCAGTCAAATTGTAGTCTCAACAAATTCATGGCTTTGTAATTAATTGATCTCAATTAATCACATAACAATATTTGGCTTACTTATGTACTCATTTTCTTCCTGAAACCCATCATTTGTTGGAGTTTGTGCTGATGACACCTCTTGTTTGTACTCAAACAGAACTGCTCCCGCCCACAGCTCCAGCACTTTCCGTGCTCGCTGTCACACGTTTTACATTTAAATGGTGTCGTAGGGTTGAGGTACTTCTGATACGCAAACTCTTCTCTGCACAGTTTGCAATAAACAATGCCTTTATCAATAGTAGTAGTAGTAGGTAGTTTTTTTAATAGCAATTTACTGTCCAGCAGACCCAGAGCGCTTCCGTACAGTATAATTGCCGTAGCACAACATGGTGCACGGACAAACGTTCCTTGTTGTTGTAATTAATTAATCGTAATTAATCCGTTAATGTCCCAGCCCTAAAATAAATACATGGCATATATATTGTCTGTGTACCATTCGTTCTTTTGAATTTTCAATTAAGAACGAAAAACCAAAAAAAAGATTTCGACCTACAGTATTTAATTTAAAGTTTATTTTAAATAACACAGTTTCTGTGCCTGTTTTAATTTTGATATTTAATTCTCTCTGGTTTATTTGCCCCGGACGTTCTGCTGCTAGAAGGACTTACCTGAAAAATTGTTGCAGTTTTGTGGACAAACATGTCCTCTTCTTTTATACTGACTTTTATTTACTTTCACGTCTTAGAAAGTAGCAGCGATAAACTCTCCTTTCTTCAATTGACACTGAATTCACACGCGACGCTGAATTGAAGAATTTCCGAGGCAAATAAACCAAAGAGACTGAAATATCAGAATTAAAATAGGCACCAAGAGTTTTTGGATTCGTGTTATTTGAAATCAACTTTAAATTAAATCTTGGAAATGGAGGCCAAAATCTGTTTTTTTGTTTTGTTTTGTTTTGTTTTGGGGTTTTTTGACACTAAAACAGAATAATGAAATAACAGTTTTTCCATTTTATTGTTTTTCGTTCTTAATTGAAATTCAAAAGAACAAATGGTACACGGACCATATACATACATACATACATATATACATACATACATACATACATACATATACATACATACATACATACATACATACATATATACATACATACATACATACATACATACATATACATACATACATACATACATATACATACATACATACATACATATACATACATACATACATACATACATACATACATACATACATACATACATACATACCAATCAGAATGAAATTTTACTTAACTTAAGTATGTTTTTTCCCCAGATCCATATGGCTACAACGAGAAGAAACGCAAACGAGAAAACCTGATGAAGTTTGCCACTCTCCAGTCACAAGGTCAGTTAGAATATTGATACTGAGTAAGAGTCTCTCCTATTCTACTTAAGATTATTAGTTCTGATTGAGTTTTTTTTTTTTGTTTTTTTTAGTGAATTCTTTCAGTTTGAGTATGAACAGGCCAATGGCAACACCTTCCAAAAATCTACGGAAAGGTAAGTAGATATTTGCAGTACACACAAATGACATCATGTCACCTGAAACCCACCCTCCCTTTGCTCCCTGCTTCAATCACTCCCCCTTCAGAGCACATTATCACATTACCATCAGAGTGTATCCACAAATGAAACTACTGCAGATACTCGCATCAGATTTGTGAAGTTGTAGTGTATTACTGCTTTTGTACATTTATGGAGAATTGTCATGTGGCAGCTTGTGGGCAGAGCATTGGAAAAACTCTTACAGCTAATCACAAGGAGGGTTCAAATAGTGCCCAGGAGAGATCGCTAGATTACTCAAACATTCATGGAGGACATATAAACCTCTTCAGGCATGTTTTTGATGAGGGAACAATGGTATAACATGGTAGAAAGATCCCAGATCCAAGAACGATGCCAAAACATTGTGGTTATGATTTTATTTTACATTTTGTCAAATCTCTAAAGTCTCGTTTTGTTTTCCAGATGTGGGTAACATGTACCTCCGGCAGCAGATTGCTTCAATACATCAGCAGCAGCAGCCTCCTGCTCCTCAGGCTCAGATGTTCGGCTCAAACTTCCAGTCTCCTCCTCTCCAGGCCCTCCCTCCTTCCCCATGGCCTAGCTCCAGTCCCTCCAGTATCCCAATCGATTCTGTCACCGTCAACCAAGGATCTGTAAAAAGTTCCCTGCAGCGCAATGTACGGCCACAAGTCAACGCCCCCAACCAGAACCCCGGTCTTCCTCAGCTGTCCATGCAAGATTTGAAGTGCTTGGACTCACAACTTAACCAAGGTGATTCTCAGCCTCTGTACCATCTACCACAACGAGATGTACTCATGACTGAAAACCAACCTGTCAATCAAAATCAAGGTGTCCAGATGCAGTGGGCGTCCCATGGGTTTGGCAGCCCCAGTCAGATTTCAAGCGGTTTTAACGGGGCAGTGCCAGGAGGGGGCGGTGGGGTCAATGATGGAGGTGGTTCAACTGGTCTTGGGTTTAACTTTTTAGATCAATTCGATGGGGAAAACTTGTTACAAAATTTAGTTGGAGGATCACAAAGTGGATTCGCAATGAAGCAAGAACCGCAAATGGTGTTAGGGCAAGATGCGGCCATGCACTCGCCAAGAGAGAGTAACACATACACAACACTGCAGCCTCCTCGCTCCAGTAGTAATGGGGCAATGGGAGTGGATGTTAACAGCAGCCAGCCTTTAAAACATCGGGGAAATCAATATTTAAACAGCAATAGTGTGCAGCCAGGCACACACTATTCAACATTGGAAGACTGGTTAAAGTCCAGTCATAATAATCAATAACAAAGGGGTTCCAATGAAAATCTATTGGTCTGATAATGGTACTTATCCTAGGATCAGAGGTGCTATATTGAAGGTACTAGGAGTTTTGCTAACCTTGCACAGCAAGATTGATTCTTGAGATATTTGGGAGTTGACAGACTCATGAGAATCCATCTTGAAGTGTATGGTTAAAATTTGTCCAACAGCAGCTGAACCAATCACGTCGCAGCATTTAGGTTTGGGCGAAATGCTCAAACGAACCAAAACAAACATGGCGATGCCAACAAATGTTCTTCCACCTATTTTAATGTCAGTGCAGACTATTTTGTTTTAGAAAAACAAGCAGAGCCTCTCCTGGATTTAAAGTCTGATGTTTCTACTTGTTCTGCTGTTGTGGTTTATTGGATTGAGAGGAGACACATGATTTCATTTTAGCAAAAACAAACACAATGTAGCAACTCGGGCTGCAGCTAATGATTAGCCCAGTGATTGACTAATCAGTGATTCTTCATTTGATTAGTTGACTGGAGGCTAGAATATTTACCAATAAAATTGATTATGGATAAAAATTTCTGTAAAATCTTTTGACATTTTGATTTAATAATGCCACTGTCTTTGTTGTAAAAGGTCTTATGGCATGTGTTTTAAAGTGTGTGTAGTCAAGGTAACAGTGATGAAAATACGATTATTTTAGTAATCGACATCGCGATCATTCCGATAATTCGTTGCAGCTCTAATAGTAAATGCAGCGATTTGACCACTGAAATAACTAGAACAGTCTGAAGAGGGAGGGGTTTAAAAACGAATCTGGGACACCTCCAGACATGAAGCAGCTTAGAGAGATGAGAGAGAGACAGCGTCAGTATGGAGGATCAGTCAAACACGTGAATGAAACAAAACACAGCTCCAAAGGTTTACTCTAATATAGGACCTTGTTATATAATGATGCCTTTGCTTCTGATGGCCTTTACAGGCCTGTCTCAGCCCCTCACAGCACTGTGTCATTATTTATTCACCTCACACTCAGTCTCACGGGCCTCGCCAATCACCACCACTTATACACTTTTACTAGGGCAGTGTTTCTCAAACTGTAGTACACAAGCTCTTTCAGGTGGTACCAGGACGGCTCTTCAGTTTGTGAGTTTGCCTCCTTTAGAGTTCATTAGATCCTTTTTCTGTCCTCATTTTATAATTTCTTGTTTTGAACGACTGTGGAAATGATGTAATCCGCTTCTCAACGTGGTTTAGTCCTGGATTAGACCTGGAATAGTCCGGTTATAGACCTGGTTTAGATCTGTTGGGAAGCCAAATTATTTCTTTGATACTACTTGGCGTGAAAAGTTTGAGAGCCACTGTCCTGGGGCAATGTGGGTGAAGTGTCTCGCCCGAGGACATAACAGCAGAACTAGTTTGTAGTGGGAATCGATCCTCCGTCCTCCGTGTTGGTGGACAAGTGCTCTGATCACTGACGATGGTGTTTGAGTGTTTGAATCTCAGTGATAAGATTGTCCTACTTTCTCCCAGTGGGCGCCTGCAATCAGAACTTTTAAAAACATATCAACATACGTCACTGGAGAAAATGTGTTGATTGAACAAGTGAATGTACTACTGATGCTCAGGTCTGACTGTGGACTGTTTTGTACTATAGGGGGCGCTGGTGTGGATATAATGATGATTTTTAATGATCTGTTTTATTGATTGATTTTTTTTTTTAGTAAAGATTTATACACATTTTAATATTTTTTGTATTTTATGTGATGCACTCTTAAGCCGTATTTCAGAGGTGGGCAAGATCAGTTGTTTTAGCAAATCACAAAAATTGCCATTTATGAAGTAGCATAATTTTCTCAACAAACAACTAAATAGTTTGTCTTATTCTGCATAAAAACAGCTAAATAAAATTTCATATTTTTCCCAAATCATTCAAAAAATTCAACCCTAATGAACAGCAAAAAATACCATCACGTTATTAAAGGTTGTATAGAGGATATTCCAAGGAAAGAGAAATACAGTGACTCCTCAGCTCCCTAAGTAGAAACGTCTCCTCCCGCCTCCTCCTTACGCTAGAAATCACGCTCGTTTACAGCCGGTGTGCATTCAGAATCGCCGCTGAAGTTTCCTGTCCAGAAGTCATTTATCGAATGACGCATCAGTCTTTAGACCCTTCGTCTGCTTCAGTCGTGCCATCACTGGAAGGAATCTCCAAGGATCACCTCAGTTTGGCTTCCCTCCTTCTCCTCTTCTCTTCTTCTTTCAGCGACCTCAAAAACTGACTTTTTTTTTTTACGGTGGACTGGTCGTGGATTCTTGTTTGCCACCGCAACAAATTTGCTCTAACTGTGAGGGAGCTACAGTTAGAAAAACCCACTAAGAACCGCTGCGTTGGTCAAGTAAACAGTGTCTTGCGTATGTGGAATGCGTGAGAAGTGAATGTAAACCACGTAATCCCACTCAGCTACACTAGAAACGTAGGAGTTTGACTGACAACCTAACAGCCAATAGATAATGAGATATATAATGAGGTAGCCTCTTTATCTACTGGCTGATGTTTATCTGGCCCCATCACATCCACAGCTGATTCTTTTTTTTTTTGGTCATCATAATTACAAGTCTGCTGCGTCTCTATAATGCTATCTTGAACAAAAATAAAAATCCTCCATACAACCTTTAAAGATGCATTTTAACTTTTCTGTTGGAGGGTCCGTCAAACTTTTGTTATTGCTTTGTCTGGAATGTTTCACAGTATGGCATTAAACCTTTTCATCTCTGTGGAGACCAAACCAGACCAAGTTACAGGTCAGATCTGTGGAGAGGCGACCCCAGAATGTTTGTTTTTCTAGGTATTTTTAAGATATAAAACCATCTGTAATTGAATAAATATGAAGTAGTTTAATGTCATACTGTGGAACATTCCAAGGATAGCAATGGCATCTCCATAGAAACAAGCACACAAACAATGCATCTTTAATAATGCAACGGTAATTTTTGTTTCCATTAGGGGTGAATTTTTTGAATCATTTTGGAAAAATATCTAATTATATTTAGCTGTTTTTGCTGCATTAAGAAAAATCCAAAACTTATAGAAAATATGTGTCACTTTTGCCCACCTCTGATAGGAGTTGAAACATTGACGCTCTGAAACGGCGTGATTCTGATTTCCATTGATAAAGTGGAGGAGGCTTTGTCTCTGTGTAGTGACTATGTCATATCTACATCACTGTTTGAGTCCTCAGTTCTAACACTCACACACAGGAAATGTTGACCTTAAACACATCAGCTATGTCACCTTTACTGTTTATAGTACAGTACCGGTCAAAAGTTTTAGAACACCACACTTTATCCAGTTTGTTACCATTTACTGTTGACCATTCTAAACTTTTGATTGATGTGTGTATCCATCTTTGGCAGATAGAACAGCTGAACACACTCGTGGCTCGTTTTACAATAGAAATCAAATATTGTGCAGAAAGTTCTTCCCAAGTCTGTTGCAGAAGTTTCCATAAATGTGTGGCACTTGTAGGTTGCTTCACTCTTCTGTCCAGTTCATCCCAAACCAGCTCCATGGGGTTTAAGTCTGGACACTGTGCTGCTGCTGGACACTCCATGTTTTCAAGCTTGACCATCTTGTTCTTTTTTCCTGAGGTAGTTTTGGCAGAGCTTGGACTTGTGTTTTGTATCTTTTATCTTTTTTTAACTTCTGTCTGTTCAGTTTTTACCTTTGCACCATTTCAAGATCTTCATTGGACTTTGAATTGCAATAAATAACTGGAAAAATTAGGGTGTTCTAAAACTTTTGACCGGTAGTGTATTTTGTTAAATAGACGTTTAAAAGGCTTGTACTTTTTTCCCCTTGTGTATTTGAGCAAAACTTGTCTTGCTCCAGTACAGATGTGTTATATAAACAGTTCTTGGAGTAAAAATAAGTCTGCATCTAATTATAAAGCGTTTTATTGTCCAATGAGCAGAACGTGTGTGTTAGCATGCCAGTTATTGTTGTGAACTTTATAGTCACAGCAGCAGGATGCTCCAAGTTAAATGGAATATAACTTTGGACCACAGCAAACTGGTTAAAAGCAAACCTGTTTTTCACATTTGAAAACAGTAAAAATCAGGTACAGCGCTTTTAAACATCTTCAAACCAAAATTAATTGCTTTTGAATCAACATAGAATATTAAAATCGAAAAACGTGACATCATATATTCATGTAAACGTGCACTATGGCATACCACTTACTTGTCTCCATGAAGATGTTTTTGTTTTGCCTGGAATACTCCACAGTATGGCAATAAACGTTTCTATCACAATGGAGACATACAGTGTAGACCACAATAGAATACACGCAAGATATGTACGTTTAAAGCCATTCTGTGGGACATTCCAGTGCAAGGTCAACATTTACGTTTTTGAGTGGATAAAAACTTGTGTACATTTATTTCTTTGTCTGAGGAGAGGAGTATTTTTGCTCACCTGCTGTCATCACTTCTTACAATATTCATGGAATTTACCAGAGATTTTGTCATGTTTTGATAATGTACTTTGAATATTTTACATTTTGTACTGGTTCATTTGTTAATAAAGACTCTTTCACACATACAAGGCGTTTTTCTTGTAGGATAAAAACCAACACTTTCTCATTTCTAATTGTAAAGGTGCAGTATTCCGAAGGGTCCAACGCGTGCTTGTCTCCATGGGGATGTTATTGCTTGAGATGTTTCACAGTGTGGCATTAAACTTATGAACCTCCATGAGAGAAACATTCAAACATTCTACATTCAAAGATGAGATGAATGCCATACTGTGGAACTGTTACAGCATTCCAGGCCAGAGGCGGCGCTACCATTAGGCAAAAGTAGGCTGTCTCCTAGGGCCCCCAAATCTGGAGGGGCCCCCAACCAATGACCCTCAGTGCCACTAATGGTCGAGGCATCAGAGCAAGATGATTTTCTTTCAATTTGACATTAAATGAGGGTAATTTACTTTTAAACAATAATCATAAGAAAAATAATCATCATATGTAATGGATGTAAACAAAAATGTAATTGTACTAGCAAAAAAAAAAAAAAAACTACTTTCAGTTTTAGTATCATCATCTATCAAAAATAGAGATGTGCATGTCTCAAGAACAATGAGGAAAAACAGACAAATATATTTACAAAACAAAACAAAACAGAAAAATGGTGCATTATTCTGAGGCCGCCAAACTCAGGTTCACCTAGGGCCTCCAAATCTGGAGGGGCCCCCAACCAATGACCCTCAGTGCCACTAATGGTTGAGGCATCAGAGCAATTAGATTTTCTCTCAATTTCACAATAAATGAGAGTAGTTTACTTTTAAACAATAATCATAAGAAAAATAATAATCATCATATGTAATCGATTTAAACAAAAGCTTAATTGTACTAGCAAAAAAATAAAACTACTTTCATTTCTAGTATCTAGTAGGCTACTGAACTAATAAGACAAGTTTCCAATCCATCATAATTCCAAAAATAGAGATGTGAATGTCTCAAGAACAATGGAGAAAAACAAACAGTAAACAGAAAAACGGTGCATTAGAGGGCTCCAAACACAAGTTCACCCAGGGGCCCCAAATTGCTAAATCCACCACTCTTCCAGGCAAAGTAATAACATCACATTTGCACCATTAAAATCCTTACCAAACGAGAAAAAAAAGTCTCTGAACGAACTGTTCTCACAATGTCACAAATGATGCAATCCTGTGCAGTCTGTTACTTGTATTACTGGATTGTAGATGACATCACCACTTTCTAGGACTAATAATAGATAATATGAATAAGAGCTGCTAAAAAGTATGTTAACATGCAGGTTTTAGTTGTGATACAGTGAATTCTTGAGTCTAGTCAGTAATAGTTTTGTAGAATTTAATACTCAGTGCCAATTCTTATACCAGAGTGATACAATACAAAATAATACTCTTTTTAGTCAATAGAACATGATTTTCAGTATTAAATCACAGTACTTTCTTTTCTATTCCATATCCTTATATGTGTGTAACCCCTCAGTGGTCCAGGTAGGTTCCTTGGTTGTCCAAGGTTGTGTCCTCCTGAGACCCGGTCCATTCATTTGTGTCCTTTATAGTGGACATTACCTTATCCAGCCTCATTTAAGTGTTTTGAGATAGATTCTTAAAGGGGGGACTGCCTAAATAGGGCTGGGGGATTATCTTTATTTTTATTATTATTATTATTTATTATTTATTTATTTATTATATTATATATATATATATATATATATATATATATATATATATATATATATATATATATATACTTTTTTTTTTTTTTTTTTTTTGGTATGCGTGTTTATTTAAGTCTGTCTTGTTGTGGATGTGCTGGGCATCCAATCCCTTAAACTTGACAAATTATAAATAAAAAAATAATAATAAATAAATAAATAAAACCTCTATAGGAGTTTGTTTGTGGCTGCACTATGATAAAATAAAGAAAATAAGAAATTAAAAGGGAGTCTTAAAACTTTTTGAGTCAACTGTAGAACCTTGTCAGAGATGTTGGTCATCAAAAAAGTTTTTTGTTTGGTTGTTATTTTCACATGAATTTAACACCAAAATGTCCCAGGTGTCCATTACAGAGGACATGTTACAAAATTATAAATAAAAATAAAATGAACAAAATCTAAATGCTAAGGTGTTCATTTACCTCCAAATAGATAGAAAATCTCAAAAATATATATATTGCAATACACTTTTTTTTCTTTGGGTCCCAGGAGGGTACATGTGCTCTTATACTTGTTCAAGATCATTTTAAAAACATTCAGGAAAGGCTCACTTCTGTCCTGTCAAACTGGAACTTTTTCAGTGTTAGTTTTAGTATCTTTTAGTATCTGGTTTTTGATACTTTTGACAAACCCAGTCACGAGTAGAAATGATCAACTAGTCCCTATTGATCCAGGAAAGTCCCGGTTTGAAGCCCATTTTTGTCCACTGTCCCAGCAGATGGACCCAAAACCAGTGGTATGTCCCAGGTTTCCCAATGTTTGACCAGAGCAGTTTTCATTACATATTTTAACTAAAATACAGAAAACCGTGCTTGTTGGTGACCGTAAGACAAAAAACCACATGGACAGAACTCCCTCAGGTACATCTGACCCAGAAGTGAGTCAAAAATGGATCATGTTACGCGCTCTTTTCACTATTTTATTCATGCCAACCATCCCCACCGGGTGTGTCCAAGTATTGAATTTTGAAAACCTGAAACACTCAAAACTAACCTCAACATCTGTAAGATTATAAGTAAGATTTGAGCTATTTATATAATTATTTACCAGTATAATTATGCGTTATTTGACACCAGTCTTTTGTTATTTCTGCTACTTATTTTGAAATTATTATTTCCATTTTATATATTTTTTTCTCTTTGTTATTATATTATATTGTGATGTGTGAGATACTGTGTCCAAATCATTTCCCTTGTGGATGTAGAGACATAGAGAAATAAAAAATAAAAAAATTTTAAATCTAAATGTTGCTCCTGTCCTCTCTGTACCTCCACCTTTTTGCACTTTTTCACTTGATCACTTTATTTCTGGTGAATTGGAAAAAATAAAAAAATGTGGACCACACTAATCCTGCTAATCCTTCAAATTAATAAAACTAAAGTAGGAGAAAGTATATTCAGTCCAAAAACAAAAAAGGTTTAACTATAATTGTTCTGTTTCCACATTTGTCGAGCGGTTCACTGGGGGATAAATGGTGAAAACGTCAACTTTTTCCAGTGTCATCTAGGCCGAGAACAAAGAGCGAACTTGCAAGAGGTATTTTACTACAATAAAGTAGTGGTCCAAAGAAATACTGAAGTTAGGGTAAACATAATATTTGGAGAAACTACTCCTCTTGTAGTTCGAGGCACAAAATCTGATTTATACATTTAAGTTAATGGAACTGGCAAGGACAAAATGATAAATGAATTAAATCTGGTACAAAAGTCACAGTCATTTGGCTCACAGAAACAAAGGGACAGTGTCAGCAGTCACTTCCAGTCTCTCTCTCAAAAACCTTCAAATCAGGCAAGAAATCTTGGAGTAATAATGGACTCAGACTTGAACTTTAACAGCCAAATCAAATCAATAACATCTGCAGCACCAGTCAATCAGCCAACAGCCAGACATTCTCTGTGTTGGCATTGATTCTCGAGATCGAGGATTTAAAGCCGGAAGAGAATGTTTGATGAATTTCATCAAGGGGAAAGATGTTATTGTCCGTCTTCCTACGGGATTTGGGAAAGACATAATATACCAGTTAGTCCCGTTAGCGGCACATTACATACATCACGACCAAATAGCAGCGACTGGTTAAATAAAAAAAGTACCCACCAACCATCAAGCAAACAAATTTTAATGCTACGAGGTCAGATGGTTTCTACAGCTGATGAATCAGGGAAGATCGTGACAAGGTGACCCAAAAAAATCTCTTGCGGCCCATCTGAAGGTCGCGACCCAGATTTTGGTAAACACTGAGGTAGACTACTGTAATGACACCTCACTGGTCTCCAGATGAGCTGTGAGACGCTGCAGAACATCCAGAACGAACGCTGCAGCTCAGGTCATGACTCAAGCCAGGAAGTCTGAGCACATGCGTCCTGTGCTCAGGTCTCTGCACTGCTCCTGTGGCTTTAGACTTTAAAGCGGCTCTGCTCATGCACAAGTCTCTCCACGGCCGAGCACCAAAGTCCATCTGTGACATGTTAGTGTCACATGAACCATCTGCACTCTGAAGACCCAGGGACCGACCTCCTGCTGGTGCCCAGAGTCACGACTAAACAAGGGGAGTCAGAGTTTCAGGTTCATGCAGCTAAAACCTGGAACAGTCTGAACATGTGAGACAGACTCTTCTGTGACGCTGTTTAAATCCAGACTCACAACAGTTCTGTTTATCTGTGCATGACTGAAAGTTTTTCATTTTTCATTCCACAGTCTTCTTCTCATTTAATGTCTTTCTCTCTCCTTAACTTTATTATGATTATTTTGATTTTATGATGATTTTCATGTTTAATTTCTTATTCTGTAAAGCACTTTGTGTACGAAGGATTAGACCAGGGGTAGGCAAACTACAGCCCTTTAATCTTTTCAATCCAACCCGCTGAACTTGAATATTAATAATAATTTTCAGTGTTTTAAAAGTCATTTCAATAAACAGTAAATACCGTGGGACTTGAAAGACAGATATTTTATTGTGATGCTTTGTAATGATTTTCACTTATGGGATATTTCAATAACATGGGATGTTTTCTACATAACCCATGGTAGATCGAGGTAGAGGTAAACTACCAAAAACTCCATCCATCTGCTCCTGGTCCGGGCCTTCTGTCAAACTTTACACCCCTTTGTGCCCACGAGTCAAAACGTTTGCCCACCCCTGGATTAGACGATAAGGACAGACCAGCAGTGATTTTTGGTTTACTATATAATCACTGTAAATAATTGTAAAATAATTGTTGTGTTTCTTTAATCAATAGGCAAATCTGTCTCTTGACCCCATCTGAGTCTCTGGTCCAGATCAAAAAGTTCAAGGCCCATCTTTTCTCCGAGTGCGTCCCTGTGTGTCTGGGAGTATGACATCATCACTCTGTACGTTGTGAAAAGTACCTTCTCTTGCGTCAGTGTCCTCTGTGGGTTAAAGTTCACGTGTATGACAGCGAGCACACTCTGATCAAATCTGTGTCGCCGACAGGACAGACCAGTTTAGACTCTTACGGTAAAGCCACGCCCACTTCTGCCATGGCCACGCCCCCTCCTCTCCCCTCTGTGAGTCAATAGGATTTGTGACAACACCTCTATGACAACAAAAACATGAGCGTAAAGAAAATAGGCATGATACTGTTTCATTAAACACGCTGTACCTGATTTTTACTGTCGAAAAACAGACAAATTTTTCTTTTAAACAGTTTGCAGTGGTCCAAAGTTATTCCTCACTTACTTTTTGCATTCTCAGCATCTTAATTATTCACCGCGATGAGTTTCTAAGCACTTTTCACAACTTTCAGAGACCACAGTGGAGCTTTGCCGTCACAGTAAAGCTGAAAACAAGTAGCATGCTAACACACACTTCCTGATATTTGAACAAAGCTTTATAGTTAGTACACAGCTGACTTATTTTGACCTCGAAAGCCACTTATTATATCTGTACTGAGGCAAATTTTACTCACATCCACTGGGAAGAAGGCCTTTAATGTGACAATGCAAGAACTCAACAATCACAGAAGTTACTTTTTTGAGCAACTACCTCGACTTTTCTTTTCTGATGATGTTTTTGATTTACCTGGAATGTTCCACAGTATTGTATTAAACTTAAAGATCCGGTACCTGATTTTTCCATGTATTTGACCAAAATGTTACCCTGATTCATCAGCCGGTTCCTTTTCGTGGAAAGCGTCTGACCTCGCAGTGTTAGGATTCGTTCACTCAACGGTAGGCAGGTACTTTTTTGTTTAACCAATCGCTGCTGTTTGGTCATGATGTATGTAATGCACCAAATCCTGTAGGAAGAAGGGCAATAACGTCTTTCCCCTTGATAAAATTCACCAAACATTCTCTTTATTCTGATTTAAAATCCTCGATCTCGGGAATCGTTGCCAACACTGAAAGTCTGTCTTCGTCTACATCATCTCGACCGTTTTGTTTACTGTTGTGCTGTTCCACAAAAGGGACCCAGACAGGTGCGACGAGTTTGACGTCATGGCTTCACAGCTCTTCACTGATTGGCTGGTGCGCGGTCTACAACTTCAAATGTTCTTGCAAATCATCTAGTGTATTCCGATTCCTGACGATTCCTGCCGATTCCTGTGACTCGCTGGAGAGAAATGAAATTGAGTGGAGGCCTGGCGAGCAAAATGTGTCTTGCCCCAGTAGATTATAAGGTCAAAATAAGTGAGCTGTGTACTGTCTACATCTAATTATAAGGGATTTTATTATCTGAAAATCAGGAAGTGAGTGTTGGCATGCTAGTTGACTAGACCACTCTGGCTTCTGAAAGTTGTGAAAAGCACTTATAAACTGACTGTGGTGAATAATTAGGAAGCTCCGAACGCAGAAGGGAAGTGAGGAGGAACTTTAGACCACTACAAACAGTTTAACATTAACCAGTCATAAAAATCAGGTAAAGTGCCTGACACAAACATGCAAAGATCTGTGGAGAGGCGATCTTATGGAGTAAGAAAGCTGTCAAAAATATTTGTGCGCATAAAATAGAAATCCGTCCGTATTTGGGAAATCCGTGCATATTTGGCTGTAGCAAAATTACAATCACGAAACAATATGAATTACAATCACGAAATGAAAATTTACTATTACACTTTCATCAGTACGAATACGAATTCACAGACGGAACTTTACTGTCAAAAATACGTCATCACTTCACAGACATTATTCATCGAGCAGAAGAAACATCGATCAAGATCAAGACTGTGCAGCTCAAGTTTGTAGCAGAGGGTAAAAACAGAGTAATAGCACAAGAAGCTACAACAGCGACCAACAAGTGGGTTAATTAAAATCTATTGTAAAAATGTCTTGAATTCGGGAACTGAACGCTGCTGTGTAATATTGTGTAGAAACACCTCCTTTGAACGGGAAATTGCACCTATATGTTAGATAACATAGTGGAGCCAGTTGGCTAACATCCGACGTAACGTTATCCCAGGGCTAATTAACAAATATCAGGTTCTCTGTATAAACATTGTTTATACATGTGTGTAAACATTCACGACTACAGCCACAGCGAGCATCAGCCAGTCTTCATCTCAGCTGCATTTCAGACAATGGGTTTTTCATGAGTTATAATGGGTTATAATGAGCAAATCCATCCACGTCACGGTATCGTTAAACTTACCGGTAAATACTGTAAACATACCAAGGTGTTGCCTGTAAATATGAACATTAATTGATGCTGGAAGCTGTATTAAACTGTAATGTGTAACATTTCATTAGCTGTGACGTCTGTAACCAGGACAGTTTGGTAGTGTTTGGTGTAAACTGGGACATTTCAGCGTCCCGAGGAACTTTTGGTGGCATTTCATGCGAGAAATGCAGCTGAAGTGAAGACTGACTGATGCTCGCTGTGGCTGTAGTTGTGAATGTTTTAATCTAAACATACAGAGAACCTGATATTTGCTAATTAGCCCTGGGATAACGTTACGCAATATTATACAGCAGCGTTCGGTTCCCGAATTCAAGACATTTTTACAATAGATTTTAATTAACCCACTTGTTGGTCGCTGTTGTAGCTTCTTGTGCTATTACTCTGTTTTTACCCTCTGCTACAAACTTGAGCTGCACAGTCTTGATCTTGATCGATGTTTCTTCTGCTCGATGAATAATGTCTGTGAAGTGATGACGTATTTTTGACAGTAAAGTTCCATCTGTGAATTCGTATTCGTACTGATGAAAGCGTAATCGTAAATTTTCATTTTGTGATTGTAATTCATGACGTCGTAATTTTTCAATTCGTATTCTGATGGATAAAATACACAATATATTTTATGTACAACTGGACTCATTTAAGAGTTTACAAATATTTATTTTATGCGCAACTACAGCCAAATATGCACGGATTTCCGAAATACGCACGGATTTCTATTTTATGCGCACAAATATTTTTGACAGCTTTCTTACTCCATACGATCTTGCTTACGAGAATGCCTGGTCCCTCAACAAACAAGATCTAATGTGGTATAGTATAGATGTATGTTAGGAGGACTGTAAATACATTCACTACTCATTATTTCCATTTCAAAAGGAGTTTATTTATATCTTTTTAATCTTCAAATGGATAAAATATATTTGGAATTGAATTTTGCATGTCCTCCATTTGACTTTAGGCTCTTTAGAATGTGAGGGTTACAATATTTTGCTTTTTAAATATATGGTGCCATAGATATATTTTTAAATAAAGATGTACTCCAAACTCCACGATGTTTGCAAATGAATGACACACCGAGCCAAACACACAACTCACACAGATTTTCTTAGTGTGTGCGATATGGCAAAAAGAACAAATCTCAATTTAGACTGCATCATAATTTATACTGTATATAATTTATTTATTTCCTTTATTCATTTTAAGTTATTTGCTTCTTCTGAAAGTGCACTCTTCACTGATTGGTTAAATTCAGCCGTCACTCACAGAGGCTAAACCAATAAGAGGTAAGGGAGGGAAACAGTGTCTTTGAGCAGAGAGCTGTATTTGAAGAGTTCAATAACAAAAACAGATGCAGTATCTCCAAGTTGTTGTTTTTTTTTGTTACCATTTTCCAGAGATATTATCAATGACAATAATGGATGGTGGATTTTATCAGGAAGGGATGGAATAATATTTGTTTTTTCAAAAATATGACTAGACTAATAGTGAAGTACAAGGCTCTGATGACTTTTTCAAATGGCACTTCTGTTTTTGCAAATTAACTCTTCATTTTACAGAGACGGTGAATAACAATGACGATTTGACCAAAATAGCTGATTGACAGGAATGAGAGAACATGATAATCATCATATCGCCCAGCTGAAATATTTGCTCACACATTTTTCTAATGTGGTTTAACCGAATACACGCATCAAGAATCTCGGACTTCCGGTCATTGCTCAATGCATACTGGGAAGGATTTTCCGAAAAAGTGAACATCAAACCTCCATGTTTGATTTCCCAGTGGGATGATCTTTTCAAGTCTTTTGAACCATATCGCTTTTGTTTCTGATTCTGATATTGTCATATTTTAGTTTTGGGATTCAGACATCGTAATTGTGTGGTTGTTGGATCCTAACAGCGGAAAATGACTTGAGAAATTTGTTTGTGAACTCCATAAATGCAAAAGGGAATCAGATATGTGTGCGACTGCTAACTGTTTCTCTTCCCAGTGGAATTCAAAATAGTGAAAGGCAATGGGCAGGATTGATCCACAGGAAAGACAAAAAAGGAAACTTTGACTGCCTAAATCATCCCGAGTTTGCAGCGAATATTTTGTATGTGGAGCCATCAAAGCAAAATCCCAATCCCTCACTCAGCCTTGGTTATGAATTTAAAAAGTCAACACCAAAGTGAAAGGCACCAGCTGTTGACCAAGAAACACCTTCCACTGCAAAGAGACCAAGACGTGATGTTGCTGTAAAACCACAAGAACAAGAAAGTGCAGCTCAGCCTATTTGTCTTCTGAACCTCTCGCTTACCAAACGGGATACCTGCTTTGATGTTGCTCCACATACAAAATGTTCGCTGCAAACTCGAGATGATTTAGACAGTCAAATGTTTCCTTTTTGGTCCTTCCTGTGGATCAATCCTGCCCATCGCCTTAACCTTTCACTATTTTTCAATTCCGTTAGGAAGAGAAACAGTTTGAACAGAGGTTTGCAGTCACACACATCTGATTCCCTTTTGCATTTATGGAGTTCGCAAACACATTTCTCGATCCGTTTTCTGTTGTTAGGATCCAAAAACCACACAATTACGATGTCCGAATCCCAAAACTAAAATATGACAATATCAAAACCAGTAACAAAAGCGATATGGTTCAAAAGACTTGAAATGATCGGTTTTGCGCAATGTACAGAAGTCCGAGATTCTTGATGCGTGTATTGACTGAATTATTCAGACACAGATCAACATAAAAACATTTTTGTGGTGGAACTGAAATTATATAGAGAACAGTTACTGCGGCCCTTGGGTTGTGCTTACACTAGTAAAAAATATGGGATGTTTTTGTGTGATGCATGATCATGTCTTGCAGAAAGGCCTGTCATGACGGTTCCTGTACTGGTTTATCATTCAGTAAATGATAAATGGAACTAACGTCTGGGGTTCAATGATTATCGTGGGTCTTTCCCTACTACAATAACATCTGGCATTATTGCACATTTAGATTTTTTCTTTAATATTGAAACAAGCAGAATAATATTGTTTATCATTTATATTTTTTTTCAGCAAACTATTGCATTATCATGACAGGCCTGCTAACAAAATAAAATAATTTCCTGCCTTTTGTTCAGTTTTAGAGGGTTTTTCAAAATAAGATTAAAAAACAGCTGCTCTATGTGGTAATGATTATTTGATATATTAATTTTATAAGAAATTTGATATGCATATCCAAGTCCAGCAAACAAAAGGTGGAGACATTGTCCAGGACATTTGACCTTTATTCTCATTGTCCCTGTGTTTCCATGTCTTGCTCTGTACAGCTGACTGGTTTCTCTTTGGGAGCGTCTTCTGTGATTTCCGTTGTGTGGGTTTTTCTGTGTTTATTTAGCTTACGTCGGTGGGAGAATGTTTTGTTGCACACTGAACAGCTGAATGACTTTCCCCTGGCGTGGCATTTCATGTGGTATTCAGTCCATTGAGCTGTGAGAAGTCTTTATTACAGATGGAACAGCTGTATGGCTTCTCGCCCGTGTGCGTCCTTTTGTGAGCGGTTAGAGAGCTTTTTTGGGAAAAGGTTTTGTCACAGTCTGAACAGCTGTAAGGTCTCTCCCCTGTGTGCGTCCTTGTATGTAAACGTAGATGAGTTGCCGTGGAAAATGCTTTATCACAGGATGAGCAGCTGAATGGTTTTTCTCCTGTGTGAAGTCTTTTATGAGCCTTTAGATGCCCCTTGTGAGAAAAAGTCTTATTGCAAATGGAACAAGTGAAAGGTTTTTCCCCCGTGTGCAGTCTCATGTGGCCCCTCAGTCCAGTTTGGTTGGTAAATTCTTTCTTACAGACAGAACAGCTGAAGGGTTTCTCACCTGAATGCGTTCTGATGTGAGTCTTTAGATTACCCATCGTGTGAAAGGTTTTGTCACAGTCTGAGCAGCTGAAAGGTCTCTCTCCCGTGTGTGTTCTTGTGTGTACACGGAGAGCCGAGTTATCCGGGAATGTTTTCTCACAAACTGAACAGCTGACAGGTGCCTCTCCAGTGTGTATTTTACTATGTACAACTAGTCTCGCCTTATTGAGAAATGTCTGATTACAGATGGAACAGCTGAATGGTTTTTCCTCCGTGTGCTTACTCTGATGCCGCTGCAGTCCAGAGAGTTGGGTAAATTCTTTCTGGCAGATGGAACAGCTGAAAGGTTTTTCGCCTGAATGCGTTCTCTTGTGAACATTTAGAGCACTTACCTGGTAAAATGTTTTGTTACAGATAGAACAGCTGTAAGGTCTCTCTCCTGTGTGTATTCTTATATGGACCCGTAAATAATACTTATTAGCAAATGTCTTATTGCAAGTTGAACAGCTGTAAGGTCGCTCGCCTGTGTGAATTCTGATATGTCTCTCTAAACTCCCTTTTATTATCTTTGTGCAAAAAGGGCATTGTTGCGTCTTGCCTTTAATGCGTTCACCTGTTCCTGACTTGTCTCCATTGTTCACAGTGTCACTAGTCTCCGGTGCAGACTTGTGTTCAGGGGACAGACCTGAGTTTTGCGCAGTGGTGCTTATTGCTCCCAACTGGTCTTCATCATCTGACCAGTTGAACGGAGCTCTCCAGTCCTCCTCATTGTCAGAGGAGTGCTCTGTGTCTCCGTCAGTCTCTGAGTGTAACTGTGCTTCTGTGCTGATGTCCTCTCCTCGCGTCTCCTCTTTGGGCTCTGTTTGTTGAAGCGGTGACGACTCTTCTGCCTTCACAACCACAGTAAAGTACTCTGGGACACCTGAAAACATTCAAACAAGATCAGGTCAATATCATCTCATTAGCAGTGATACGATACATACTTTGATACATAAGTTACAATATAATACATAACTCGATACAACGCGCTTATGATTCACTACGATACTAAAAGCATTTGTTAAACCACTTCTTGTGCAAATTGGATATGAAACGCACTCATTTTACTCATCAAAACAGTGAAAATGTCAAATATGTTGCATAAATAAGTTTCCTTCCTCTGAACAAGCAACAAAACTGCAGCTGTAACAAAATCATTTTGTAAAATACACCAAAAAATACTCTTGGCGATATAGCCACACAGCAGCCCACGATGACAATATTGTATCATCACATTAAACAATACAATATATTGATATTTCAATATTTTGCACACCCCTTGTCTACATGTACCAAAAATATAAAATTGGAAGATTCATTATGAGTAACTGTATTCTGGTTGGCCTAGTTACTCAAAATTCAATCCAGACATGTGGAGGAGGGCAGACTGAAGCAGTGACTGATGTAACAAATGCTCCTAAACAAATGTCTATGAACTATAGGGTGCTGTAATCTATATCTATTTGCTGTAATAATTATAAAAATAATATGATTAAATAACGTGCAGGGGGAGGGGCAGTTTAATCGGCCCCAAAATGCCCAGCTCTGCTCTGTTCAGGATGCAGTCCTCTGATTGGACCATGCACGGAAAGTGTGTTGCAAAATGCATTTTCATTGCAGGAATTCAGTAATTTTGAAGTATTCTTCCCCACACTGAATACTGCTCAGTAAACATCAGTTGTATGAGTTTCAATGGCGGAGCTTACACTGGCAGCGGCTCTTCCTCCTGTTTCACGCTCGGCTCCTCTGGCTCCTCTTTAATCGGTAAAATCTCTGGGATTTCCTGCTTCACACCCTGCTGCAGACCCTGGTTCAGGCCGGGCCCTGGACTCGTAAAGGGACTCGTCTCATCTTGGCCTTTAGGCATTTTTACAAACCTTTTTAGCTTTAGCTCCGAGCTAAGCACAAAGACCGTCCCGAAACAGGAGCCACTGCACGAGCCGAGAACCACGGTTTCTCTGCCCTGATTGGTCAGTCAGAAACTTCTCCGTGCTCCTATTGGCTGAGAGTGGAGTGGGAGGGATATGTTTCCGGAAGTTTTTATTTTTATATTTAGTTTATTTATTCATTTATTTATTTATTTATTTTAAAAGATAGCACATATTACACACATACATTGACTTTATTTTTTTTACTATTCGTGCAAATAAAATTACAACAATGTTATGCTTAATAAATAGATGGTTTATGTTTTATAGACAGCTAACTGTTCCCCATCTCATCTTTAGTCTGGCTGTCACTGTTACATAAGGTGATCAGACGTTCCTATTTCCCCGGGACAGTCCCAATTTTGAGCCAGTGTCTCCTGTCCCAGCAGATTTATCCAAAACCAGTGATTTGTCCCAGTTTTATACAAAAAAAAGTCCCAGATGTCCCTATTTTTGACCAATCTGATCCCTGCCGACAGTAAAGAGATTCATAAACTGTCATTTGTTTAGGTAAAATACAGAAAAGCAGTTTTAAAATGACCAAAACAGAAAAACATGACTATACTGACTCACATTAGGACCAAATGCAGAACAATTTTCCTTAATTATGCCCTTGTTTCATAATTTTATTATTACCAACTACCACAAACCATGTTTTTTTATTTTGAAAATCTGCTCACTCTACTGTTATATCATCTACATGTCGTGCAGCTGCTAGCCATGGATCTATGATAAGCATTCATTTATGTGTTTTTCATTTATTTATGTATTATTTATGTAGAGCTTGGTCACTGTTTTGGATTTTTTATTTTATTATTATTATTTTTTTTCCCAAGACTTGGTTTCTTATTCCTCTCTGAAAATTTGGAAACCCTGACACAGAAGCTGAAGGCAGCCTTGAGCCTCCACAGTGTGGCATTAAATTCACCTTGGCTTACACATATCCATTGTGTTTTTACCTGAAAAACATGTATTCTTACTGTGAACAGGCTTGCCACTCCACAAATCTGACTTATAGTCGTATTATAGTCCTGTTTTATTCCTGTTATTTCTTGGTTTAGTCCTAGTTTAGTTCTGGTTCAGTCCTGGTCCTGGTTTAGTCCTGCTATAGTCCTATTATAGTCTTGGTTTAGTTAATCCATCCATTCATTTTCTTCCACTTTATCTGGGGCCAGATCACAGAGGCAGTAATCTGAGCAGTGAGGCCCAGACTTCCTTCACCCCAGACACTTCCTCCATCTCCTCAGAGATGCCAGGCCAGCTCAGAGACATAGTTCCTCCAGTGTGTCCTAGGTCTTCTCTTCCTGAAGGAGGTGTCCAGGAGGCATCAAGAACAGATGCCCTCCCCTCAGCTGCCCCTCTCAATGTGGAGGAGCAGCGGCTCTACTCCGAGCTCCTCCCGTGTGACTGAGCTCCTCACCCTATCTCTAAGGGATCGCCCAGGGATCCACCCTGTGGAGGAAACTCATTTCGAGCACTTGTATCAGTGATCTTGTTCTTTTGGTCATTACCCAGAGCTCATGACCATAGGTCAGGGGAGGAACATACACTGATGTTAAATTGAGAGCTTTGCCTTTCGGCTCAGCTCCCTCTTCACCACAACGGTCCAATACAGTGACCGCATCACCGATCCACCTGTCAATCTCACGCTCCGTCCTCCCTTCACTAGAGAACAAGACCTCAAGATACTTGAACTCCTTCACTTGAGGCAGGGACTCTCCACTTAGTTAATTTTACAGTAATTACTTATGCATTTATTTTGATATCACAATACAGCACTAAGGAATACTCAGTACTGACTCTGATACCACAATGATAATAATAATAATAATTTAAAAAAAAAACGCTCTTCTTTTAGTTAGGATTGATTGCTTTTTAGCAGGAGCCTCCTACCTGGCGTCCACATATGTGGACATATATGTCCAACACATTTTTGGTTGTTTAGGCACTTAATAAATAGCTTTTGCAAATCATTATTCAATTGTGACTTTATTATGTTCCATCAAAATAATTAAAACATAAAATGAATGTTTTATATATCATATGTGGACATAATTTTTCTCAGAAACTACATCATGTACAAATATAATTCTGTTTCTGCACTCATCAGGTCCCAATCAGCCCAAATAACAAAGAGAAATCAATAAAGCCATGCAAGAGTTTGGGTCTTCGGAGGTTAAATGGTAGTATTTTCTTTTCTATTTCCATGTGTGCTGATATTTGTGTAATACTCGTTCTGTATACTTCCGTATACTTGTTCTGATCATCTCAACATCATGTTGATGTTCTCAACATCATTCTAAAGACATTCTGGAAAGCTACATTTCTGTCCTGCCAAACTGGGACAGTTTTAGTATCAATACCTGCTTCTCAAGTAAGTGTCTGGTTTCGTTACTTTTGACATTTGTCGCTTGTATTGTGATCTTGTCTTTCTTATCCTCTAAAGCACTTTCTTGGCATGCTGGCAATAACAGGAAGTGGGCATTCACGTTTACCTTAATGTCAATGTGCCAGTGACTTTTGAGTCCATTTTTATTTTACCATTCGATTATCCAGAGCTGAATATGCATTTAAGCCACATCAACAGGATCATGAAAGTTGTGGGTTCAAATCCTAAATACCAGTTTGTGGGCCTGGGTCTTGTATCAGGTCAGTCCCACTCAGTAACATTCTAACAGTCGTGTGCGTGTGGTACATATCTCCATGTTTCGGCCTCCTCTGCACTGTGCTCTGTCTGCACACCGCACGCTTACTGCAGCGTCGATCATATGACGTCACAAAACCACAACAGGCCAGCGACGTCACTCCAGCCCCTGAGCTGCTTAAAGAACACCTCGCTGTGCGCCGTCACTGGAACTGCACAGTTTGATGTCAGAAACTTGACCTATCTATGTCTCCAAAGGACACATGCACGTCAGATGTAGTTTTTCTGATAACAGTTGTAATGCTGATTTATTATTCATTACAAAATTACAGCACTGAACATGATGGACAAGCTGCTTTGTAAGTTTGTCAGTCAGTGCTGAAATCCAGCTAGTGCAGCCTCTGTAGCTCAGAGAGAGACCTCTGGTGGTTCTGATCTTTCACATGAGGTCTGTCCATAAACTGAGAATGAGACAAATCAAATCTATCTGCAGGTTAAGAAACTGGCAACTACCTCACAGGTTGTGCACTTGCAAAGATGGATTTTTGGATTTCATGGATATTGTATCATTAGAACAATGGGCTTCATGAATTTATAAAGCGAAACTTAAAAACACACGGATGTGGGAGAACCTTTAAAATCTCTTCTAACAAGTGAATGTTATGTAAATATGCATAACTCCAATTCCTTTTTTGCTCCTTTGTTAAAATGATGATGATGATAACGATGATGATAGTAATAATAACAATAAGAATATTATTATTGTTGTTACTGTTACTACTGTTGCCATTATTGTATTTGCATGTATACATATAAATGTATGTATCTATATATGTATGTATGCATGTGTCTCTATACACCTATATATACTGTGTGTATTTTTGGATGTATTCTCTGATTAATATACCTGTGGGTCAGGGGGGTACAGGTCCTGGGGTGGGGTGGTTTTGGGACAGGGTGGGATAGTGGGTGTTAAGGGTAAAATGTAACTGAAATTGTGTGCACATGTGCATATATTGTTTACTTATGAATCCCTTCCACCCATGAATACTAAAAATCAAATAAAATATTGATCACAAAAACAAAAAAAAAAGAAAGAAACTGGCAACCCAGGCTCAGATGTGATTATAAAACCTATTTTACAACACCTTTTTTTTTTTCTCTAACATACTGTTCCTTTAAAAGACATTTCACTTTCACTTTTTCTTTTAATAACACTCATGTCTTGTTAATACTTTTAAGAACTAGTTGTATAAAATAAAAACTATCTATAGCCTAATTTATAGTTTTGTACTGTGAGCATGCTCGCCTCTCCACAGAAGTGACCTGTACTTTGGCATGGTGTCATTACCTGTTCTTTCGTGAGATTCATGGTTTAATGGCATACTGTGGCAGAAGTGGCAATCTTACTCCAAGCATAAACATTGTTTGTAGAGTGGTTGAGGTGAAATTCCAGCTCCAACAGGTGAGTAGTGTCTATGGGCAAGACATTTAACCTGGGTTGTGATTCCTTGATGTAAAGAGCTTTGAAGATAGAAAAGCTCTAGGTAACACTTGAATTTTTACATCTCTACAGATATAAGCAGATGACTACCCTTCACTAAACAAGTGACACTGTGCACCTTTAACAAGTGATGTATTCAGTATAGGACTAAAATATGTAGTGTCCCATTGTCCACCGAATGTTAGCTGTATAGTAAAGCCAGTCATTCTTTAACAATCAATCATGTTAGTCTGACAGAGGGAAATCCCCATCTAAAACATTTTTAGTCCCAAAAAACATTTTCGGCATAACAACACCGCCCTCAGCTGGACACTCCTAGCCACTGCAGTTTTTTTTTTTTTTTTTTTTTTTTTTTTTTTTTTACAGCGACACTTCAGGAAAACAAGAAAATATAATATCACTTTTAAAAATCTAGCCTGTATAGGTTACATTTGTTAAATTGTTTAAATAAGGGTGATCAGACGTTCCTAAATACCTCATTATGTAGCCCTGTGTCCCCTGTCTCAGCAGATTTATCCAAAACTATTGATCTGTCCCAGTTTTGTATAAGAAATGTCCCAGGTGTCCCAATTTTTGACCAATCTGATTCCTGCCAACAGTAAAGAGAGGCATAAATTGTCATTTATTTAGGTAAAATACAAAAAATCTGCTGAAACACGGCCAGAACACAAAGAAAATGTGACTATACTGGCTCACAGGTTAGTCATGAAGGGCATTTGTATAGCAGTTTTCCTTAATTATGCACTCTTTTCACAATTTTATTATTATCAACCACCAAAAAAGGGCGATCTCCCAGTTTTTTTAAATTTTGAAATACTGGTCACCCTAGTTTAAATAAACTTTAAATTAAAACAAATAACTGCCATTCATTAAATTAATTAAAACTTATATATTATGTATCATGTTACTGCACGTTTTATTTGTTATTTTTAAAACTGTTATTTTATTAATTAATTTCCTTCCAGCCGTATTTTGTTACAGATTTAGTCAAGTTATTACGAGTATTTGTTGAGTTCTTCAAATTTCCGATGGTCCCTGAAGTCGCGGAGAAGAGGCTAGAGTCCAAACCACGGAGCCTGTCATATTTTCCTCCTTTTTTGGACATTTATTTGACTTTTAGTCATGGATCCACGGGCTCCACAAAAACCGTGGGAGAGACGAATCCCCGGGGCTATGGCTGCCCCCGTAAACTACAGGTAAAAACTTATTATAACAGTAAAAGGGACGTTATTTTTCTGCATTTTGTCCGACATGTTGGAACTAATGCTAATGCTAATGCTAATGCTACTCTTAGTTATGCACACACGCTGTTTATAATGCGTCTGTTTTTTTATATTTGATAAACTGCATGAAATGTATGGATTTTAATAAAGTTCACATTTGATTTTCAAAGATTTGAAGACTTATAAGTCCACAATAATTAATCTGAACTAACAGTGGCCTGGTTTTGTTCTGTAGCCCTAAAATCTATCATATAGTTTAGGATGACCTGACGCCCCTGTTTACCCGAGACAGTCCCAGTTTTGAGCCTGTGTCCCCTGTCCCAGTAGATTCATACAAAACCACTATTTTGTTTTATACATGAAATGTCCCAGTTGTCCCTATTTTGACCAATTTGATCTAAACCAGGACTAAACTAATACTAAACCAGGACTACATCAGGTCTCAACCAGGACCCAGGACGACATCAGGTCTCAACCAGGACCCAGGACGACATCAGGTCTAAACCTGGACCCAGGACGACATCAGGTCTCAACCAGGACGACATCAGGTCTCAACCAGGACGACATCAGGTCTCAACCAGGACGACATCAGGTCTCAATCAGGACGACATCAGGTCTAAACCAGGACGACATCAGGTCTAAACCAGGACGACATCAGGTCTAAACCAGGACGACATCAGGTCTAAACCAGGACGACATCAGGTCTAAACCAGGACGACATCAGGTCTAAACCAGGACGACATCAGGTCTAAACCAGGACGACATCAGGTCTAAACCAGGACTAAATCGAGACGACATCAGGTTTAAACTGGCACAACATGAGGTCTAAACTGAGACGACATCAGGTCTAAACCAGGACTAAAACAGGACTGTCATAGTTTTTGACCAATTTGATCCGTGCCAACAGTAAGAGGAGCATAAATTGTAATTTGTTTTGCCAAAACACACAAATCTGTGTTTGTGAATGACCATAAAGCAAAAAAATGCAGCAACAGAAGTCCCTCAGATTATGACTGACATGAGAACGCACAATCTTACACGCTCTTTTCACCATTTTATTTATAGCAACCACCCCAACCTCAGTGTGTCCCAGTTTAGAATTTTGGAAATCTAGTCACCCTAAAATAGTCTACACATTTTATTAAGCTGTAGGGTAATATTACTGTGTCTCCTCATTCAAGGACATTTCTTATTATTTCTTCATCATATTAGAACATTGTGATTTATCTTTGGGATTTAACCTTACTTTTACATTTATTATAGCAGAGTTGATCCTGTGGAACTGTGTGTGTAAATAACTGTGTCCTGAAATGCCACTGACCTTTTCCTTTTGTACAACCAGCAAAACATGATAACACTTAAATTTAAAGGGCCCCTGTTTTCTGATCTATGTTCGAATATTGTTTCCTCATCACAAACAGACCTGGAGTTGTGTTTTGTTTCATTCACACATGTCTGAGTAATCCTTTATTATTAGTTTGTCTACATCTCCAAAGCTCAAAATGCTCTGTCATTTAGTGGTAGTTTTCAAGTTAATTATATTTTAACTTTTGTTCAGCAGAGATGGGCAATTCCATGGTTGAAATGATCGACATCATTCTAATGAAAGTGTATCGAGTTTAAAAACACAGTGGAGCCTGTGTTCAAATAAATTCCTTTATGGCTACGTTCATACTACAGGGCTTAATGCTCAATTCAGATTTTTCGCAAGGTTGTTCACATTTCCAATTAAATGTGACTTGTCTGTGATCTCCAGTGTGAACTTTAAACGCCCCAGAAGTGTCCCGCATGTACATTGGAGGACACGATGACATCACACACAGTGAGGGTGCTCAGTGTTTAGGGAACATGGATGCAGCATTGAGCACCTGGAGATTTTAAAGTTTCTCTTGTACCGCAGCCAGAACATGTACAGCTTATTTGTTTTAAGGAGGAGATTGAGAAGGAGAAAGACGAGGTTTTTGGCTGTGGCGTTTTGTGGGGCAGTGGCAGCGACGTCCGTAGAAAGGAACGTGTGAGTGCGGAGTTGCAGCCAAGAGTGGTGGGATTGTGAAGTGCTTCACTGCTTCACTCACACGGAGTTCAGACATGATTTTCATATGACGAGAAGAACATTTGTGTACATTTGTGAGCCTCTACTTGTACCACTCTCGCGGGAGGAAACACGTCTTTGGTGGCCTATTTAGTGAGCAAACGCGTTGACGTTGGGCTGTACTGACTTGCAACGGGTGTTTGTTACAACACATTAACATTCATGTTACATGTCAAGATCAGATATGTATCAGTTTTAGGAGCAGAGATCCAAGTGGCCTGGGTCACATTTGAAAAAACTGGATCTGTGTTGTTCAGACTGTCATTAAAAGATCAGATACAGGAGCATTGTGGCAAAAAAATAGATTTGGGTCACTTCAGGCTGTAGTCTGAACATAGCCTAAGGGTATTGATCAGGCAAGGGGAACACTGACATAGATCAAAAAATAGTGTAATATGGGCCCTTTAAAACTGTACTTTCTGTCGAGGCCAAAGCATTACATTTGTATCTGTTTATAATTACGGAACTTTTACCATTCTCTCTGTCTTTTTTTTTTTTTTTTTTTTTTTTTAGATCCACAGACTTTGCTCCCTCTCTCCCTCCCTCTTCTGCTCCTGGACCTCCTGTTCTCACACGCATGGCTCCTCCTCTGCCCCCTCGGCCCGTTCAGCAAACCTACCGCCCTTCATACTCCAACTTCAACTCCTCCTACGGCGCCCCCTATGGATCGAGCTCCTTCTACACGCCCGGCTACTCTCCCTACGGGTATGGCTCGGGCTATGGCTCGGGCTATGGCATCGGCGGATATGGACATGGGCGATTTCTACCTCATTCCGATGAAATTGCCCCGAGTCGATTTGTCCAGCAGGCAGAAGAGAGTAGCAGAGGCGCGTTCCAGTCTATTGAGAGCATCGTCCACGCTTTTGCGTCTGTCAGCATGATGTTAGACGCTACGTTTTCAGCCGTTTACAACAGTTTCAGGGCAGTTCTTGATGTTGCGAATCACTTCACCAGATTGCGAGCTCACCTCACTCGGGTTTTATCGGCATTTGCACTTGTGAGGACTTTGAGGTACTTGTACAGGAGATTGCAAAGGATTCTGGGAAGAAGTATAGACTCTGAAGCGGATGATCTTTGGGCAGAAAGTGCTAGTGATGCTTTAGCGACACCCAGAGGAGCAGAGGAGCAGTCTGTCAAGTCTTGGCCAATTTTCTTGTTCTTCGCAGTAGTTTTGGGAGGGCCGTATCTTATCTGGAAACTGCTGAGCTCTGCAACAGATACAGAAAGGACTGGTATGACTTTAATTGTTATTTTTAAAAACTACAAGCTAGCAAGTTGTTGGTTAGACTCCTGATCTCTGTTCTGTCTCTTTAGACACAGAGTGGGCGAGTGGAGAGGACGACCATGTTGTGGCCAGAGCAGAGTTTGACTTCACTGCTGCGTCAGAGGAGGAGATCTCGATGAGAGCAGGAGACATGCTCAACCTGGCCCCAAAAGGTACATGCCCAACAAAACACTTCATCAGGTTATGGTTTCAGAAAGTTGAAAAATGGCAAAATGGCAAACTTTATTTCCACTAGAAAAAAACAACAACACTGAGTGCGTATGCATGCACATGAATATCCCTGTTATGATCGGGTTTTTTTGAGTATCCCAGTTTCGTTATGGTGCATGTATACGGTTGCAGTATCCCGGTTATGAGAAACTGGGATACTGTAGTTGGTATATTCCAATAGTACTGGGATACTTATACATATACGTACACATGCCACAGTATCCCGGTTACTGCTACATAAAGTTGAGTGTGCATGCGTCCAAAAGAAAAACACTTCCCAGTCTTTTCACCACAACAATAGCTACATACATAAAGTGATCATACATGAGTGAAATGACTGCGCTAAACCTGCACACGTACAATCTGCACTCGTACGACCTGCACACGTATGATCTCTGAAAAGTTAAACATGAAACATCTCCTATACGATATACGCACAGAACACACTCATCATCATCAGCCACTCCTCTGTCACAGAAAAAACACACATAATCCACTGAATCGTGTCCTTTAGTCCAACAGAAACTGATCTCATCAGCGGCACAAGGAGCTGTTTTTATCTGCACTAACAGTTTATGCAAATTAGCCATGTGGTCTTAAGTTTTGTTTCTATAAAACGTAAACAAATGTGTCAAAGCCGAATTATATTATCAAACGGGCTGATGGGGTTATGGTTTTTATGTCATAAAGATGAGTTTATTTATGTAGAATATTTTAATAAAAAATCTACACGTTGGGTTTGATCTGTGCAGTGGATTGTGGGATATCTCATAGCTCCATACTGCTGGTTAGAACCTCCCGTGCTTCCTCTGCTAAAGGAGCTCATGGTTGTTTGTATTTTTCTTGGTTTATTGACTTAAATTAAGTTAATTTTTGAGCTTGCGCACTTGTAAGATTATGTCAAGAAACCGGGATACTCCATTTGATCATGTATACGGGGAAATGAGTATCCTGGTTTCTCAGGGCGCATATACTCGCAGTATCCCGAATACTGCCATAACCGGGATATAGCTAATAACTGGGATACTGATGTGTATGTATACACACTCACTGTGTAACTTTGTGGAGGTGGCACGTCAGCTGCATGTTTCCATGGAAATAGGAAGTTATATATCCATACTTTGAAACATTCTCCATGGGCATTTTTATGTCATACTGTGGAAAATTATTATTATTATTATTCTTTTTTATCTCTTTCTGTATCACTGGGCCTCGGGGAGCACATTTCGTTCTGTCATGTGTTTCTCTCACATGTTTGAATGACAAAATAAAGAACCTTGAACCTTGAACCTTGATTATAGCCAAAGGAACAACATTTCCATGGAGACAAACAGGTGAAAGCCCTCCTCCAGGCCAAATAAGAGTCAGGATTGTGGAGATGCAAGCTCTGCTCACAGTAAGGACACTTTTTCAAAGGAATAAACATGCTTCTGTTGGAGTCTATGTTCTGGCTAAGAAGTGATGTGCTTTATTGCTCTATATAAAGTCTGCAATGGCATACAGAAGTTTGAGTTAACAGTTGCTTGGCTCACCTGTCCCAAAATCTAATTCCCAATCCAATCACAGCCGCTAATTTGAACCACGTGTCTTAAATGCTAAAAACATCTCCTTTTTAAATATTCTTGTAACATGCAGACAAAACAATACTGTATAACTTTTTTATCTCAGGTACATTTGAATTTAGTGCTTTACTTGTTAATTCTAAAGTTTTTGTCCACCATTTACTTAAACCTAATTTAGATCTAAATTATTCATATTTTTAGACTATGTTTAGTAAGGGTGACCATTTTAGGCCAATGTTTAGTGGGTTAGAGGATGCAATTAGCAAATTACAAAGGCTTTTGAAGTGCTATAATTTCCTCCACAAATGACAAAATCTCCTGTGTTATTCTGCATAAAAACATTTAACCCTGTAGTGTAGATCTGTACAAACATGTTCTGAAATGTGATTCTTTTATTAGTTTGTCAGTTCAGATTTCAGTCTTTTTGTCAAAAATTGAACTTTGAACAGAATGCAATTATTAAAACTTAAATCACAAACCCAATCCCAGATTTTAGGCCTAATATAGTGTTAAGATCTGGTGATACATTATCTTGGGTGGTACTTGGTGTTAAAAAACTTCCACTTGTTTACATCATTTCATTTAGGAATGAAAGCACAAACATTTTGACCCATTTTTAATATCAAAATATACTGCTTCACGATGTAACAAAATTATCTTTTATTACATTTGTCTCTTTCAGAGCTGCAGCCCCGAGTGCGCGGCTGGTTGTTGGCCAGTTCAGACGCTCAGACCACGGGACTCGTTCCTGCAAACTACGTCAAAGTTTTGGGCAAACGCAGAGGCCGCAGACAGGTCGAAATGGAGGCACAACAAATGAACGCTCCAATACAACCTGCTACTGCTGTTCAGCCTAATATTGAAACCTCCACAACCCTACACCCAGGTCTACCCACAACCCAAGCCCAAGCCCAAAACGTCACCTCAAACCTGGGGCAGACAGAGGAGCAACTGGAACAGGTCTATGGAGAAGCGCCTAACACAAATATACCTACAGTAATAAACATAGAGGACAAAAATGAGTTATAACAATGTCTATGTACAAAATCAGGCTTTTCAGGCAAATCAGCTTTTCTGGTGGAAGCTTTGATTGCTTTCACTGGAATGTTCCACTGTATGGCGTTACATTTGTCCACATGGCACTTAATCAAATACTGGTGTTTGTATTACTAAAAAGTAACATTGATTCTTCATACTTTGAGTGGGGTCACGGCTCCACAGATTTGACTTGTAACTTCACCTGGTAGCGTCACCTGCTCGTCTCTATGGAGATACACAATATACTCCAGGCAAAGCAATAATAGACAGACAATCCACCAGAAAAGTTACGCACTTTTTTAAGAATATTGATCTTATATCTCTGGTCTGTAGGCTGGATACTCATGGGTTTCAGTTTCCTGTTATAGGCGACATTTGGAGGACCTTATTTTCTGATTTCTGGAGTCATTGGATTATTGAAATGTAAACAGTAATGTGAACAAGTGTATCTGTGTGTTATGACGAGGTTTTTGACTAAATTATGCAAAAAAGCAAAGTAATGTGGCAAAGAGAAAAGTTGACATACATAAAATTTTGCTGGGTTAATGTGCTGCATAAAAGAATAAGTGGTTCTAATGATATACCTAATTGCTTTTTCATTCAATCATGTTTGTAATGTCTGCTCTTTGTTGTTCTAGGACTGTAACATCACATTTGTTCAAAAGTTGTCAATAGAGTTGGTCTTGTATAGCTTTGTTGACCCTCGCAAAGAAATTAATTATAAACTCCGTCCTTTTAACAGCAATTCTGATGGAATAGAAATTATTTTATGCAATGGTTTTGGTTCCATTTAAATCCATACTGTTGATTGACCACAATTTACACAATGATTGTATAGTTTTCAACATCTTAAATTTGTCCATGGTTGAGGAAATTTGTATATAGTAATATATTTTGAGAATAAATCTGGTTTAAATTTTAAAACGTTGTCTTTAGTCTTCTATTTTCCGTCTTTCTTTTTCTTACAATATAAATGATATTTTAAGAAAGTACTTGCAATCTACATGTGTGGTTATGGCTCGTGTTGCGTGAGGTCAGAATTCTACAGTCTAATCAGATTGCAGATATTTTTGACTTGGTTTATGGTTCATATTTCTTTTTACTTGGCCTATCCACTTAAAAGAAAAACTGGTACAACATTCAGTGTCAGCATAAAGATACAAAAATGAAATACTTGCTAAAACAGTGGATTTCCCATTGTTACAGTTTTGTAGGCACATTGAAGCATTTGAGCAGTTCACGCCCACCACTGTTACTAGGCAACAGGACACAACACGACTTGAGCAAATACGAAATATTTAGGCCTACTTTTTTTTTTCTTTGATTGTTCTGTTATAAACTTTGCCCTGCTATTTGAAGATTTGCCTATTAAATTTCACTTTTATTTTATCTTTAAAAGTTTTTTTTATTTATTTTTTTATTCCGAACATATGAATTTGTTAGGTCTTTGAGTAACAAAACTTACCAGTCCTCATATCTTTTAAGAATGTGTGTTTATATATTTTGTTATAGTCTAAAACTACGGTCAAATGTAAGTATCTGGGATTTCCGTGGGGTCTCGAAAGCAGCAGCGCGTGTCCCGCAGACGTTAGCCTCTGTTAGCATTAGCTTGAGCTGCTGAAGAAACAGCGCATCTCTTCATCATCACTGAACACAATGATCCGAAACTCCGCTGGACGCTAGAAGAGCCACACTCCGGCCGACAGTAAGTGCACATGCACATAGAACACACTGAGTGTGTTCAGACAGTGTTCAGAGGAAAGCACCCGAAAGCAGCAGGTGCACCTCGGCTCTGCGGCGGGGGATGTCGCAGTGAGTGTCCGGGATGGGGGCTTCATGACTCGGCCTGCCTCTGCAGCAGCGCCCGGTGTTTGTGCACCGCAGATATATCAGACTAATTAGATTCAAGGACAATTATCCCACATTTGTCCTCGGTCTTTAACTGTGTTTATGGTTTGAAATGTCAGGCTGTTAGATCCTTTCTGTGACCTCCACTAGTCCACTTGTCATGAAACATTTATGAGTGTTCAAGAAAAAAAAAGGAATTTTGGATTAATTTCAACTTTAATTTGTCTGTGACCTCCAGTGGTCCACTTGTCATGAAACATTTATGAATGTTCAAGAAAAAAAAGGAATTTTAGATCAATTTAAACTTTAATTTATCTATGACCTCCACTTGTCATTAAGCGGAATTTTGGACCTAATGAACTTTAATTTGGAATGAAAAGAATAATTAAATTACTGACAAACTATAACAGAATGGAAGATGGGCAGGTTTAATTTTTAAAAGATTTCTAGATTTCAGATGGCATCACACTTCTCACAGGAGGCAGGTTTAATAAAATAAAATGACTCGTGTTAATCTGCAAAGTTGTATGTTGTATTCATAGATGGATAATGTGATGTAATGATTGGTTCCAACAGTTTGTAGAGCGGTATGTTTTGATATAATCCTACTGAAAATGTTACTGAAGAAACACAGTTGTTTTTATATTAAATTTGTGGTGACACTGTTTTGTAATTTTCTATTGTGCTCTACAAAGCTCAGTATTTTTTCAATACCTGTTTTCAGTTCAGTCTTTTTGTACCAGTTGTAACCAAAACGTTTTATTTGATGAGAAGAATATTAGCCCTAGCCTTCTCTGAAAGAGACATCCTCACAACCTGTGTACTATATGAAAGAATAAGCTGCACTTTATTTTGTCATAAGGCTTATATATTAAAACTAAATGTTATTGTGTGTTTTGCAGAAATGAGCCGCTTCAGTGCAGACAACAATAACTTCCCATATGATAATAACATCCTGGTTCTGGACATGGTTCTGGGGTCTCTGTGGGGGGTTCCTCAGCCCATCAACTGGGACAACGTGGCCAAACTGGTGCCTGGGTTCACACCAAAGGAGGTAACTGTTGTTTACAAAAGTGCACAAGTACCTCTCTCTCTCTCTCTCTCTCTCTGTCTCTGTCTGTCTCTCACTCTCATATTTGCAAGTATTGATTGTGTTTGCATCACAACATTGTAGAATCCCTTAGTTTAAAATGAGCTGGAGGACAGGTCAGAATTCTCAGGTGGAATTTGTTGTTTATTTGTCAAATTGGACAGAGAGACAGACAGACAGACAAATACTTTATTAATTCTAAGGGAAATTTGAGTTTTGCTGCAGCAAACTGTTGATGTTGCAGCAACATTTCCACTGCACGTCTTTGTGTGTCAGTCAAAGGTCTCAGGTCAGTTTAACAGGAGGACTGGTCAGGGAGGTTCAGCAGATTCTGTGTCAGAACAGTTTGAGGAGAGGAAGAGCCAAAAGTGTCCCTCCTCTGTGTCCTGCACCATCACAGCAGCTTCCAGGGTGCGCCAGGTGAACACATCAGGAAAGACTTCATTCTTGTTCCGCTCTGGTGTTTCTGTTGGTGAAGAAATGGTCCATTCTCTCAAAGTGTTTCCTCTGGAAGATCTTCTGCCACATTTGTTGTCACATATGGTGTAAAAACCCTGTAGCATCTCAAAAGTCCCTAGCTAGCCCCCTGCACAGTCTCCATAGATACAGGAAAAACACACAGCTCATTTCACAAAATCCAAAAGACCCTTACTTTTGTCCTGTTGTTAAAAACTGAGCTCAAAAAACAAAAAGTTTCTAAATCTGCTCAGTGTGAGGCACAGGTAGCAACAAAAGCAGCCAAACACTCCAGTGCCATGGAATCCAAAAGTTGCAGTTTTGTTGACCTGGTTTATGGCTAATCCCTCTGTGATTACTGGACTATCCACATGAAACAGACACTGGCACAGAGTTCAAGTAAATAAATAAAATGGAAATACTTTTAGCTCTCACCTCAGAAAGTGGTGCAATTATTCATCCCCACAGATGTGATTGTTGTCAGTGGAAATGACTGAAAAACACTTCAAAACACCATAAGTTTGTGGAGCCGATCCTAAACAATTATTAAGTTGTATATCATGAGTTTGGATATTTCTTTCAAAAACGGTGAATCTATAGGCCCCCGCCTCCATCGGAAATTATGACATTGTCAAATTCTTATGAATGCCACTTTTTTGTAATATTGTACTCATCATTTATTCTTAAAGTTTTGAGCACACTTTGGATTTACTTCAGTTTACTTCGGTATATCTTTCTGTTCTTCATTTTTCTCTTCACTTTTTGGTGCCACATATTATTTGATTCATTGACTGAATTTCACATCAGCTATAACACAAATATAACACACATTGACATTTTCCCTAGAGAGTTATTGCATATGACTTTAAACCTCTGCATTTCCTTCAGTGTTCACTGAGGTTTGAGGAGCTGAAGACGTCTGGAGCATTCCCACATTTGGATAACGAGTGTAACACCCTGACTGAAGGCACCAGTCCGTCTGCAGATACAGGGAACACAGAGGGGGCCGAGGAGGAGGTCCGCGGGCAGAGCAAAAACACAGGTATAACCAGTATATCTGAACAGCTTTCCTTCAGATTCTCTTTTTTGTCTTGAACATATCCTTGGAGACATGCACCAGAATATAAGTTCCCATTTGAATTGAATTAATAATAATTTATGTGTGTGGGACTTCTGCCCTTCTTTCTGTGCTCACAGTTGGGCGTAAACCTTCGTTCTCTGGGAGGGTCTGCACTGTGGAGAAGAAGGAGAAACGTGTCACCATTGAAGAGGACGGGAAACCACAGAAACCAAAAGAGTGAGTTGCAGACAGAGGCAGAGGTTGACTGCAGGTGCTGGGGTTAAGGATGGGGTTAAGAATTAATCAGTATTACAATTGTTATGCTTGATTTGAACATGAAAAAAATCAACATGTTCTACCTTTAATGCTCTTGGACATGTTTGAAATGTGCTGAAAAGATTCCAACCTTTATCATTAGTTTTTCCCTAAATCCTTGAGCCTTTGTTTGATCTTAGTCGCTCTCTGCCTGTGCCCAGTCCAAACATGGTGATCCACGTGTGTGATGAGACCAAGAGCCTGAAGCAGGACTTCACGTGTCCTCGTGAGCTCCTCGTGAAGGAGATGAAGTACTTCTCCGAGTATTTGTCTGTGGACGCCCAGCGCTGGGACGAGGTGGACATCTCTGTGCACTGTGATGTCCAGATCTTTGACTGGCTCATGAACTACGTCAGGAGGAACGCAGGCGGAGACGGGGCCAAGGACAAGCCCAGGCTGGGTATGAAAGCACTAATGGACTATTAGTAGTAACAGTCTTAGTTTTATTTTTTTATTTTATATATTTTTTCATTTGAAGTGTGAATTATGTTTAGTTTAGATTATTTGGACAGTTTACATTTTACTGTACATTATATGTCTACATCATCATTTCATAGTAGCATATAGTATAGCAGCATAGCACTGGAGTAAGCACAAACTGGTGCTAAGCACAGTCATTTATGGTGTGATCAAATCCAACTGGAAAAATGCTAAGCAAAAGTGAATTTAGGAGTACATTTCCTCACTACCTTAGTTTAGTAGTTGTAAATATGATTTTTTTAATAAAAGCAGTTCCACTAAAAGCTATGAAAGAAGGTAAACAGTGTCCTATGAATAAATACATCAAAATGATTAAAAATGACTCTGCTGACTGCTGGTCAAATTTAGGCATTAGAACTTTAACACGAACAGTGCTTGGTCAGATTTTGATTGTTGAATCATCTGAAACATTGTTCAGCAATGTTCCTTCATTTTCATTCACTTCTCATTCATTTGGTCACATGATGTTTGTGTTTTGCAGAGCCCAGTAATGTGATCTCCATCCTGATCTCTTCTGAGTTTCTGAAGATGGACACTTTGGTGAGTCCTGTGGTTCATGGAGGTGATTAAATTATGGGGATACACTGATTCTTATTTCATATATCCTAATATATCCTAATCTTAAAGGTTATTTAAACTTGGAGGGTTTGTCACCAGAAGATGTCATTGCTTTGTCTACAATTTTAAATAGTGTGGCATTAAACTTTTCTATCTCCGTGGAGACAAGCAGGTGCTGTGACCAGGTCAAATCTGTGGAGAGGTGAACCCACTCACAATGCAAACAAAAAATAATATCTGTAATTTCATAAATGCAAGTCTGATAAATTGAACGCTATACAGCTGAACAACTGTCAGATGCAGATTTGTTGACCTGGTTCATATCTCTGTAATTACTGGGCCTATCCACACGAAACAAAAACTGGCACAAAGTTCAGTGTCTTCTGTCAGTATAAATAAACATGGTATTAGAATGCCATTATTCAGCCCCAAAGACATGATTGTTTCAAGACTTTAGTTAGAGTTATACAGGCACTTCGTCTGAAATGACCTAATCTAATTGTAGACCATGAACAGAACCTTTCCTCTGTGTGTGTATGAGTGCAGGTGGAGGAGTGTATCCAGTACTGTCACAAACACATGAGCGCCATAGTGTCCACTCCCTGTAACATGAACTGCATCAACAGTAACCTGGCCTCACGCATCTCTGAACAGTTCAACCACAACGAGGCCGATGACATCCGCGACAAGAAGGACAAGTTCAAGAGGTCAGGAGCACTCAACTGTCTCCACATGAGCTTTTAAAGACGCCGGACCTGATTTTTACTGTCTCAAAAACAGAACTACAACATTTTATAAAAGTGCAGTGGTCCAGCGGTCTTCTTCACTTGCCTTATACATTCAGACCATCCTAATTATTCACCATGATGAGTTTATAAGAGCTTTTCACAACTTTTAGAGGCCAGAGCAGAATTTTGCAGTCACCACTAACTATAACTAGGACGCAAACAGTGCTCTTCCTGGTTTGCGGAGGATTAGAAACGTATTTAATTAGATGCAAACAGCACACAACGGTCTCATTTTGACCCTAACTGCTGCTTTTATGATACTTGTTCCGTACTGGACCAAATACAGAGACAAACAGGTGATTGTTTATAATCCAGAGCAGCTGATGGCCAATAAACTTTGCAGATATTTCCACTTTTCAGGATATCAGCTATCGGCCTTCAGTCTCCAGCAGAAGCCGATATTTTGTTTGGGCCAACCAGCAGCCTAAAAATACAATTTATCTGAACACTTTAGTGCAAAGGTGACACTGCACAAACTGTGACTACACTGCTCTCTTATCCAGTCTGTTGTAAAACTAGATTGTGGATGAATTTGTAGTAAATTTAAATAGCATCATTTCACGGATCAAGGCTGACCGTACATGTGGGCTCAAAAATCTGGATAGACAGTTGGAATCTTCTTATTAGTTGATTTAACTTTGTCTTTATTGCAGTAAATTGTTCCAGAAGAAGATTGAGCGCCTCTTTGATCCACTTTATAAAAACAGAGACTCACCTGGAAACGCCTCTACACTGTACAGGTGAGGAGACAATAGTTTACATATGTATGGTGCATTCAGTTTCACAATCATTACATCACAACTGGGACTAAACTGGGACTAAACTTTGAACGAAACCAAGACAGGACCAAGGGCTTGTTTACGCTTATGGATAAAAATGACAAAATATTTTATCGGAAGTGCCTTTTGTTTAGACAGTGACAGCGTTTTTGGGCTTAAAAACGCAAAAATCTGAAACCACCCTCCAGAGTGGAAAAGCTGAATACGCTCCGCCGTAATGTTTCTGTCTACACTGCCCAAGACTCAAAACTCTGGTCAGATCTGCTCACGTCACGTACATGTTTATGTCACATACATCACCACCTAGCGTCACCACTGAGCCGCCTGGCATGCATACTCAATCAAATTCCACACACTGTTGCGTCACATGCAGATTTCCTCCTGAAAACACTCGTCCAAACACGGAATAAACGCGGAATAAAAAGTGAAGACACGACCACATTTGAAACTTCTGTTCAAATTCTTTTGTGTCTTCTGTTCATCATATAAATGTAGCCCAAATCTACTTTACTCTGCTCAAATGGGTCCAAAACCAGGGCGATTTTGATAGACAATGCGCAGTCAAAAATTTTCTAAAGTAAAAGTAAAAGAGTAAGTAAAAGAAAAGTACTTCTCCTTTCTTCTGAAGCCTACACCTAAATTTCTAAACCTGCTTAGTTCTGCTGCTCTATAATTCCAGAAGTGTATTATTCAGACAAGTAAAACTGATTTGCACTATAGTTTTATGTAATTTCAACACCAGGTTTAGTTATGACCAAGTATTATACAAAAAGTTTTAAAAAATCTGGTATACACATGTACAGCACTAGATCATGTGTAGTGTGTTTGGGGCTTTGGATTTGTGCAGAGTTATAGAAGAAATAACTATCTGCATTTAGGTGTGGCCTGTGCCGGAAGCTTCTGACCAGAGACACAGAGAGGAGGATCTGCTGTGTCCACGGGAAGATCAACGTGGACCAGAGAGGAGAAATCATCTACACACACAGCAGGTTTCTAACACATACTGTACTTCAAACATTTAACTAACTTTAAATAGATTTCAAACTGTACAGATATTTTTATAGATATAAGCTGGTTTGATTGGATGAATAATAAAATAAGCCCTCTCCATGTGTGTTTCAGACAGAAGAGTTGGGATGTTCATGACTTTCTGTCTGACCAGTTTGAGGAGCTGAAGTCCTGGGTCCTGGTTTACTGGAGACTCTGGGGAACCATCAACCACTTAACCTGCTCCAGGTGTCAACAGGTGGGAGCCACACCAACCAAACACTTCAGCAGGTGTCCACAGGTGACAGAGTGTACATGTGGACTGTTATTATATCACAGCGTATTTCACTTATAATGCAGGAAAAAGAGGACTGTAGTTTTGACTCAGCTTTTGCTTTTTGTTTGTCTCTGTTGAAGTAGTGATAACAAATGCGCTGCTCCTATGGAAGTTAGTTAACCATGTAGTGAGGGCAGTTTGAATATTGATACGATAAGAATGAGTCTGGTGACAGTAATTTAGCACATCTCCGAAACTGCTGTATAAATGTGGTTAAAGGTACCCAGGGTGAAGCCATGAGGGCTCTAGACCCACTCCTCTGTTTAAGTCAGACTGAACAAGTAAAAAGTCTTTGTTGTATTTTTCAGGTGTTTGTGTGCTCAGAGTTGACCCAGTGCCGGTACCACCCTGACAGTGTGCAGTACCCAGGATCAGCTGAGAAGGGTGGACATGGAGCGGGAGTGTACCCTTGCTGCAACCAGAGGGTCCTGAGGTTTGACCCCTCTGCTATGCCCAAGGTTTGCTAACTGGCTAATAGACTAATGATTTTATGTGTTTTTAAAAATATGACTGTATTTTGACTGTTTACTCCAGGCACGTTCCAACTATGGAACCGTTTTGTCAAAACAGACCTGGTAGCAAACTTTTGTGGTCCCAGGCTCCTTGGTGAATCATCTGAAAATGCAATTGGCAGTGTTACTGGAACTTCAAGTAAAATCCTACATGATCTTTAATCACAAACTTCAGAATGTCTCCAGATCTTGAGCTAGTCTTGGGCAGGACTAACTTGGCAGTTTTGATTTATGGGGCATATTTTAAGTTGATGAGGGAAACCGGAGTGCCCTGAAGAAGCCCACCCAGACACAGAGAGAACATGCAAACTCCACACAGAGAGGCCTGGGAGTCAAACCGGGAACCTGCTAAACACACAGCCACTGTACGAGATATTTAGGTTTTGTGCCTGAATAAAGACACAGCAGCTCAGTCAAAGGTGTATGATTAATGAATGAATGATCCTGTGTTAAACTCAGTTTGATTAAACAAAGACTTTTATGATGAGCCAAAATACAGCCTGCCCAGTCTGTGGCCCTCGGTGACATTTCTATTTCATTTGGGCCTTGCTGGAGTTTGAACACCGCTGGTTTAGTCTGATTGTGTACACACATATGTTTGTTACACACACACACACACACACACACACACATATGTTTGTTACACACACACATATATGTTTGTTACACACACATATATGTGTGTTACACACACATATATGTTTGTTTCACCTTGTAGACATGTGTGTATTGTCCTGTGTGTTCAGGGCTGTAGGATGAGGGATCACATCGTGAGTCTCCCTGATGATGCAGACGAGGCTCACACCAGAGTCCTGAACGATCTGCTACTGCACAGAGATGCAGTGTGTGTGTCTGCTCCTAACCTCACAGACAGGTACTACTGCTACTGCTACTACTACTACTACTGCTACTGCTACTGCAGTGTGTGTCTGCTCCTAACCACACAGACAGGTACTACTGCTACTGCTACTACTACTACTACTGCTACTGCTGCTACTGCAGTGTGTGTCTGCTCCTAACCACACAGACAGGTACTACTACTGCTACTACTACTACTACTGCTACTACTGCTACTGCAGTGTGTCTGCTCCTAACCACACAGACAGGTACTACTACTACTACTATTACTACCACAACTGCACCTGTTGATGTCTTGTAATAAAAAAAACAACAAAAACATTTAAAATGTAATTGTCGCACACTTTAATCCCGTCCTGTGTGTGTTGTGTTTCAGCCCAGATGAGAGCACCTCCAGCTCAGAGAAGCTCCAGGACTGTGAGGTTCTACTGGAGCCCACTTTAGTCGGACCCAACCGAGCTGACGGACCAACAGTGAGTCTGGACCAGGACTAAACCAGGACTAAACCAGGACTACATCAGGGCTTAAATTTAATAAGAAATATAAAACTGGACTCACTGTAATATTGGTTTGTTCTTAATTTTAACTGGATGCTTCTCTTTCTGTTTTTGACCAGTTTTCTCTTCTGAAAAACTGGAGCCTTCAGTTGGTAAGACCTTTTATAACTCCTTCAGATTTTAATGAGGAAACATATGAGATTAATTTGAGTTTTTGTTTCATATGGATAGGCCCAATAATTACAGAGATATTATCCATAAATCAGGTGAAACCATCTTCAGTCTGATGGACATTTTATAATGAGACTCATAGAATTCTGACCTGTCCTCTAGTTCAGTTTAAACTCTAGGCAGTTTATAATATTGTGATGTCACCGTTGTATCATGCACAGTGCAGGGGAGGCTCTGTATGTTTGCTGTTTCCTGTTCCAGAAGCAGCAGTGTCTCCTGTCTGAGGATGAGGAGTGCACCACGGGGTCAGAGGTCACAGAGGACGAGGTTGGAGACGAAGAGGAACTCAACAAGAAACAAGGTCAAGATTGTACTGCTATTAAATAGAAGTATGATGTGAAGTACAGATAGACGAGGGAAGAGATTTGATAGTATGAATAGATACATAGAAAAACAGATGAAGCTCTGAGAGACGAGAGCGATGAAAAATGTTCAGTTAAAGCAGGTTATTAACTGAACGCTTTCACTTCTAAACTTGTGTATATGGTGTTATAATAGTATTGCAAACTAGGTACATTTGCAGCTTTCAGGTCAAAAGCATATAAAAATGAGTGTGTCCTTGCTCCAGTGGCTTCTGCAATTTTTATTTTTTATTTTTTGCACTCAACCCTCTCTTTTCACCACTACCTACACACGCTCACTGCCCTCTTCTTACTTCTTTGTCTAATTGTATTTTCTTAATCGGTGATACATGTAGGAGTCAGCAGCGTCACATAGTCATTTTGTACAAATGAAAAAAAATCCCACTACTCTCTAGTGTGATGTGCAGCTCTCCATAGAAGGAGCCTGTTCTTTATTGTGATGACATTTATGGTGACGTCAGCTCCCATTGGGCGCCACAGTCAGCACATTTGTTTTTTTTCATTGTTGTTTTAGATGGATATTGTGATTTTAAATGTCCAAATGATAACAGAATGATCCACTGGTGTCATATATTATAACTATAGAGCCGGCACAAGCACAATAGGTTTGCGTTAACAGTTTAGTTTAGCCATGCAGTTACAGGCATTGTCCAGCAGGTGTCATCACTGTCTGTTTTGTGTTTGACAGCGGCGAAAAAGGCCAAAAAAACTCCCCGTCCTCTGAAGAAGCAGCTGTCATCCCCCAACTTCAGTCGTCGAGAGAAGAGTGACAAAGTGGGTCACACAACACAGAAGCTGGAATAAACTAAACTAGAGCAAATACAAGGCTGACAAAGTCCTAGTGACCAAAACTAAACGACTAAACATGCTAAACGCAGTGACTCATTCTATCACACATACAAGCACATATCTATATCACACTGAAGTTGACAGAATTCCATTTTCTTTGGTGAGGACTACACAGACATGTGTCTAGACCATTATTTAGCTTTTTGTTGATTGTATTTAAAGTGTAATATTGATCTAAAACAGATCAGTTATAGAAACTGTTCCTGTTCGAAATTGCAGAATTGATTCTCTGCTTTTTATTATGGAATTTTGCTATTTTAATTGCGATGGCGTAAAATGAAGAGGAGAACTCGGCGTCTCAACTGAATTCAGTGATTAAGTGATTTTAGATCAATAATTTAAAATGTCCAAAATATAACATAAGGATTCAAGGTGGATATGGTGCTTTGTTAAAACACTGTAGTGCACTTTAACTTGAGCCCACAGAAAGATAAAACTGCCCACTGCTTTGCTCAAGGTTTGGAGTGAGACAGAGCTGTGGAGGTTTCAAATCATAATCACTGAATAAATAGTTTTCTTTAGTGTTATGCTTTCAGTATGTAGAGTAGTGCCTTAGAAGAGAATGAAATAACAAAAATGATTTGACAGTAAATCTTCCAACTGAAGAGAAGTCGCATATATCAGCCTCAAAATACTGTGCCTTTAATGAGATGTTCATGTTTGATTTGTGTCTCTTCTCTTCTCAGGCGCAGATGAAAGACAGCACTCCTTTCACGTGAGTAGACATTTTAGACATCTGTATTTGATTTGTTTTAGATTTAATTTATTCAAGTTTGACTTGGCAGGAGACAACATTACTAATGTTAATTCAATCACAACATCAGAAAAAGATAAAACATTCCCATAAAAGCTTTTCCTGGGACCAGAAAACACCCTTCTTCAGTATTTTATAAAGATGTGAGTCTGGTCACTGCTGAATCTCCTCTTGTTCAGATGGGTGTGATTGACAGGTGGATTAAACACAGATCATGGGATAAAACAAAAGATAAAATACCACAGGGAACTGAAAAACAGATTTCTGCAGAATCAATGAGCAAAGTACTAAACTTTGTTCATCTGAGGGGAGCAAAATGTCATTTAATTTGTTAATGATAGTTGACCAATGAGCTCCTTCGTTTTACATGTAACACTGAAATAAACAAATCTGATTGGATGATCACGTTTCGCTGGACTTGAGAAACAACAGAGGGAGTGGGGACCATCTGTATAAAAATACAGAGAGATATTTGTCTGGATTAGCAAGCTCAAATCAAGCTGAAATTGTGAACAGGTCTATACAAAATGCAACAATAAAATAGAATAAAAAAGTTATTTTTATGTTATGGACTTTTTTTTATTTTTACATTATAGTATATTTGTTATATTTGTGTTTCAGCGTCAGTCTTCAGAAAAGTAAATGGGACTCCAGCAGATCTCTGAGGTACAACCAGGACGCACAGAGGGAGGAGGGTAAGGACTGTGGAAACAAGCGTTTTAACGCTGCACTGTGGAATTTTTCACCATCACTACCACCTGCACCATAGTAATAACTATTTGAAACAAAATATTATATCTTTTGATTGTAGAAAAGTTATTAAAATACCGCCTTTAACAGGAAGTTGAAACTCATGAATATAAAACTATGACAAATATTTGAACCACCGTAGTCTCAGTCCCAACCACTTATTTCACTGTTCTTAAGATATTGTCTCTTTTCTCTTCTGATTTCATTTGTATGTGGTGAAAGCGTTGTCTTCTTCTGTCCCTCAGACCAGCGGAGGATGGCAGAGATCATCGGACATTTGACTAAGATGAGGTTTGGAGATCATGAGCAGAGCCGAGCCAAAGACAGACAAGAGGTGAGACGATGTCCGGTCTGTGGGTTTATTTACATTTACACTCGTGCTCAGGACAAGTCTAACTGCTCTTTTCACTCAAATCTACTTAACATACTTTAAATGTAACATGCTGAAAATGTAAACATGTAAATTGTAATGAATGCCATTATTTAAGTAACTCTGCCAACAACAAAATATCCTACTGTGTTATCATATTGTCTACAGCAGTGTAGTTTAGACCTCTACAAAATCAGTGAGATTCTTGTCACTTGAGATTTCAGTCTTCTCTCAAATGTTAATGCTAGTCAGTGTGTTTAAAATATCTTCTTTAAATGGTAAAAAGATGTTTCCTAATCGTTCTGCTCTTGTCCCCAGTCTTCAGAGATCATATAAACTCAAATCTTGTTTTAGCGTTCAGCTTCAACTTTCAGCTTTATTATTGTCCCAGAGGGAAATAGTTGTGCAGCAGTGTGAGACAAACAGTACACACATACAATACAATTCAGTAATGCACTAAACCACAGCTTAAACTTAGCTCAACAATGCAGACAAACATTCCCTTAAAAATAGGCAAAAAAGAACAACAGATGTAACCGCATTTCACCACGACTGATCTGAGCTGTAACAGCATTCATCCTGGTTATGGCTTCAGAAATAAAGGAAGTCTGAGCTGTCTGAGTCCTGATCTGGAGCATTCACAGACGCCAGCCAAAAGGAAGGAGGTTAAATTCCTCAAAAAACGCGTGTGCTCAGGGCTCTCCATTATTTGTTGGGCCTTCTGTTGTAGACGTGCTGCTGCTGGGACTGCTGTAAGATGACAGTTTTACCTGCCATTTTCACCAATCGAGCCAGACGGTTTCTACACGACACAGAGAGGGAACCGAACCAACAGATAATACAAAATACAAGAGTAGATTCAATACAGCTCAGGTCAATAAGAACATTATTGATGTTAATAGATTTCATTTTCCTTAAAAAGGGCAGTCTTTGCCAGGACCAGTATTACACTATTTTCTCATCTGTGTTGCAATGTTGTTTCCTCACACACAATTTCTGCATATTTAGGCTGACTTCTCTCAGAACAGAACAGAAAACACTCACTGTTCCACCTTGTGATGTCATGTTTTAATACATTTAGTGCTTCACTGTGTTTTTAAACTCAATAAACCTTCACCAGAATCATTTGGATAATTTCAGTCCTGGAATTGCCGTTCTCTACTGAACTAAAGGTAAAAGGAGCTGTTCACTTGAAAACTACCACTTCATGACATCACATGGTGGAGCAGAGCATTTTGAGCTTTGGAGATATAGACAGACTAATAATAAAGGGTTACTCAAACTTGTGAATGAAGCAAAACACAACTCCAGGTCTGTTTTTGATGTAGTAACGCCATTCTAACATGACTTAAAGCTCCATTTTGCGTAATATAGGAATGAACTCTCCCTGTTTTTGTCTGATAACATGTAAAGTAACTGTATCTCTTGTGACTGCAGCCGTCAGGAGGGATCTACTCCAGACTCGAGGCTCAGTTCAGAAACTCTCTTCAGCAGAGACAGGTGCACGAGAAGACTCCCAGGTACAACAGCTTTATGTTTCTCCAGTGACGATGTTCAGAAATGTGATCAGACTTAGACCTATAAATGTTCTGCTTTAGGTTCTAGCATCACACTAAATAATAATCATTTGATTTACATTATATACATTTAAAAATCCTTACATATTCACTTATAAGACATCCAAAGCGTTTTACAGTGCTTTATTCATTCACTCCACACAGACTGATAGAAGTGAGGCTGCACACATCACATACAAACTACACAACAACAGTAGTGATGCACTTATCCAATACCGATCCAATACTGCTATCTGAAACTGAAAAATGAACTTGTTTGGATATCGGCTTCTAAATACTGATTCAGCCAACAGATTGGACCTGTAAAATAATAAGATGATTTACTGGTTGTAGTCGCCCGGAAAGTCTCAGAATGTTTGTAGTGTTGAACCATTTAAAGTTGTTTTGTAGTAACTTAAAGAGCCCATCTCATGCAAAATCAACTTTTCAGAGTTTTCTACCTTCTAAGAGTGATGTGTGAGCCTTGTATTTGTTGCCCAAGTGTTTTTTAGAATGATTCGGTGTTTTTTTAACAAATTGCAGCGTGTTTCTGTCACCCTCCCACGTGACAACAAACTAAAGCTGCTACAAAGATGACGCGGCACATACACCTATGACACTTTTGACGTAGCAGAAAACGCTTTGCATCCGCCCCCCTCCCCCGCACCACCATCTCCGCCCCGCCTCCACCCCACATCGACTGACAATTCCCACATGAACACCTAAACAGAAGCGACTGCATAAGCTCATTGTTCTACACTGCAGTGAACACGATATAATAAGTTGATCTACTAGTGTTTATTAATACTTTACCAATTAGTAATGTTCAGCTGATGTGGACGCGGTGCTTGAGCTTCGTGCTCCTCAAAGTCCTCGTCCGATTCCAGGTCCAACACATGCGGCTGAACGCGCTGTATCTCCATGATGAATAAAAGTTTATTCCTACCACTGTCAGGGTGCACATCTGTCTCCCCCTCCCTCCCTGAGATGAGCGGAGGAAGGGCGGCTCACTCGTCGCCTACGTCACGTTTGGAGGGCGGAGCCTGTGCTTTCTCAGGACGGGCGGGGGGAGGAGCAATAGTCGGTCTTTCATAGTTCCTGTTCTGTGACTGACTCCAAGAAATCAGTAAGATTTCATAACTATTGTGTAGTGGATGTTACAAAACCCAAACTGCGCTTGTATATGTGCAGAAGTGATTTTGCCTGAGATGGGCCCTTTAAGAGATAAATAACAACTATATACAGGGTTCCCACGGTCATGGAAATCCTGGAAAAGTAATTTTAGTATCTCTTTCATGCAACTCCAGCGTTCTGTTAAGTTCTCATGAGGCTGTTCTGATTATTTCTGAACATCTGCACCTTTTGTTTAAAAGAGACGCCAATAAATGCACTGACAGGATTTTGAATGTTAAAAAACTATAATCCCAAACCATAATGAGTGGGAAGAGTTCACATTTCATATTTAGCCCTAAAAGTCTGATCAGTTCTACACATGTAGGTGCTGTAAAGTCATGGAAAATTCACTTTAGCTCATGAAAAGTTTTGAAATGTTGTCAGTGAAAAAGAATGAGACCCTTGTATGGAACACGTTTGGTTTTGTTTTGTTTTATTTTTGTATAAAAGAATGAAATGCTGTTCTCAGTCTCTGCACTGGTTTCGGTTTATATCAGGTATCAGTATATTTGAAGCTATAGTATTGAAATCAGTATCTGAGCTGAAATAACTGGATTGGTGCATCTCTTAACAACAGTATGCACTAGACTAGAACCACTGCTTCCAACTTCCCAAACCTGTTTCATCAGTGAATTGTACCCAGATTATACTGCAAAATATGGAATCATTTTGCTTAAGCTCTTTATTTCTCATCAGTTTTGCAAAGCTTCAAGACAACAAATACACAAATTTATCCATTTCCTCCCTCACTCTAATGCGGTGTGATCATTTTAGACTTGTAAACACATCGACATTACAATCATTCTCGGTTGTTTTGAACATTACACACATATTTGAAAACACAAATCCAAATGCAGCCTCTTGAAATGTTTCCTTAAATACAGTATGTTATCTCTTTGAATTTTGTATTCCATGTGAACAATAATTATTCTAACTTTTCATTCTCTTTGTTTCCCTGTGCAGGTCTAAAATGCGTTACGCTCAGATCAAATCCACGTAAACCTCCAGCTCCTCGTCTCCTCCAAGCTCAGGTCACGACTCGGGCTGCGTCCCATTTCTGTTGAAGTGCCTCCTTGATCCTCAGAATACTTTCACGTCGAGTTTTATTGTTGTTTTATGATGTTGTAAAAACGTGACAAAGGATGAAAACCGCTTTACGTTTTAGTACACGCCTATTTGAAATGTATCGACTAAATACAGATGGAAAAATCACATGTGCGCTCGCCACAAGTGTTTAGAATTTTTAAACTCTTAACTTAAAGACATGTTTGAATTCTTTTCATTCTGAATTTCATTTATACAATACAATTCAGCTGTCAAATTTCTCAAAAAAGTTGAATTTGAGGCTTTGAAAGTTGAATTTGAGGCTTTGAAAATAGGTTTTGAATCTATTTAAAAGCCACATTTTTTACATTTTAAAATTTTTAAACTGAGAAAAACACTAAGGTATCCTCAAAAAATCTGCGACAGTAACAGATAAAAACAGGGTTAAAACATTGAAAAAGTGAAGTCTGATGAAACAAACCTGATGAAACAAATGATCTTCCATATATGCTGTATTTTATTTAATTTTTATCTCACTAATATTGTGCTGTTTGAAATGAGAATTACATGAACAAATACCTTTTTGAAAGTAACCGGTAAATGACATGTATTATTATTATTTTTTTTTTAAATAAGGTTAAATCCTGAATAGCACCAAATGAAATTGTTTCAGGTGAGGAATCAAGTCGCTACAGAAACTGGACGCAGCTGTGGATTTGGAACTTTTGGTGGAATCATTTGCACTTTGGATTTAAAACTGTAAAACTGCATGTAGATTATTGTACAGTATTACCAATAATAAGAGTCAGAATGGCCTCTGGGCAAAGGACAGTCTCTGAAGAAGGCCCATTTTAGATTTTTCTCCTTGGGGCGGCTGCATTTTAAACGTACCTTTTACACCAGATACCCTTCCAGATGCAATTGTACTCAAATGGACCTAAGACTGGAATGTAACTTATTTAGAAGTAGGAGATTTGAAAACAATACTGAATGTGATGTTATACACTTGAAGGCTTGGCGATTGCACAGAAAATTCACTACTTATTATTACTACTACTACTACTGCTACTCTGGAAGTTTGTTTTATTACCAAAAATGCCTAGAGAAGTATTTTAAATGGTTATATTGCTACTATAAATGCATAAATATTTGAATGTGATCTTGTGAAAATTGCCAGTTGCCATTTTAGTTTTAAGAAATTGAACTCTGATTGTAATTCCATTTACACTGACCACGTGCACTAGTAATAAAATCATGAACGGACAGCAGTAGTGTGTCGTGTGTCCAGTAGATGGCGTTGTTTTACCTCATAAGAGACTTAAACGTGAACTTCCACCCATTTCGTTTTAACTGCCTTTTCTGCTGCTCATTATCTTTCACTGAACCAAATCACAATGAACAAGAAATTCAGGATTCACTCGAAAGTAAAATGGTTTGAACAGCTTCTTTTAAGGCACAATATTGAATCATCAAATGAGTCATTTCGAAGGCGCAGTTATAAAATTCAACTTTAATCAGTTCAAAAAGTTCACAACAGAGTAACACCAGGTCATTTACAGGTTCTAATTTGACGCTTTAGTTCATCCCCGTGAAAACAACAACAAAAACTGCATTTGGACAGAACTCAAACAAATGAAAAATGCTAAATTAAATGTAAACCAGAGTTCGTCACTGGAGCCGAACCACGCGGTAAACAAACATCTCAAAGTGAACAGCCAACAAGACAAAAATGACATGAAACCAGGATTATAATCTACATTTCAGTTGTTTGGACTAGTTTAGAACTTTTCACTTTTTCAGTCTAAATTAAGTTTAAAGCTGCAATACGCAACTTTCTGGACGCGACATGTCACCTGTGTGGCTCCACGGAAACAGAAAGTTTAAACCATACTTCAGGACATTCTTCACTGAGCAATACTGTATAATATGATAGCCAAATGAGCATTATTTCCATGGAAACAAGCTCTGGACCAAACAAAAGTCAGGTTTGTGGAGATGCAAGTTCGCCCACAGTAAGCATGTTTGTTTTTCAGTGTTTTGAAAAACAAAACACATTTTTAAACCTACCTTTTGCTTAAAAAGTTACATACTGTAAATGTATCGGCAACTTTTGTCGTTTGTCAGCGAGGTTTTGGTCTTGTTCAATTCTCTTTACTCCACTATAAAGGCAGACTATGGAACTTTTCTAGTGAAACTTACACCACCTGCTTGTTTCTTACAAAGAATGCTCCACACTATGGCTTTAAACTTCTCAATCTCTATAGAGACAAGCAGGCGACGCTACCCGTTCAAGTTACAAGGTCAGATCTGTGGAGAGGCGAGACCCCACAAAGAATGCATTTTTTCCAAGTTTGTTTTTAGCATAAACTTGTAACTGAAGAGATGCAACACAGATATGTTTAAAGCCATACTGCTGAACCTTCCAGGTAAAGCAATAACATCTCCATGGAGCCAAGCAACATGAGAAAAGTTACATGAAAATATATTGGTATATTGAAAATAAGTACCGGTAAATCATTTAAGATAAAGAAAAAAATAGGTCAGATCTGCTGAAATGAAGATTAAAATTTTGATTCCAAGTAATTTGAATTCAATTCGATATTCACTTTTTGCATTTTTGAAATTAGTACATTTCCAAACCATTTTCACGTGAGTTCAACCAAAGTTCGTTATAAAGATGAAGAAACAGCCATAAATACGTCCCACTCCGAACTGTCCCGTAAAGAAACTCCTCTCAGAGGAAAACAAAAGCATGTCGACGTGCGACACTCATCCACAGCCTCCAGGGGGCGATATGCACTCAAGAGAACACCTCTGCAGGTATACAACCAGGACGACACAAGAGAGGGGAGGTTTGGGGCAAAGCTGGAGTGAATCATGTCAAATCCACACGCACAAGTTACATTCACTTTCTAGAGTTTGTCATTTGAGATGAGCGTGTGGAGCCTGCAGAACTCACACAACTAACAGTCCAACTATGGAAGATTCACTGTTTTTAACAGAAATCTCCAAACTTATCATCCACGAATGTTGAACCTTCTCATTATTTGGTTGGGATTGACTCCCAAATCTTATGACTTCAAGTCCTTTCAGTTGACAACAATCATGTCTTTGGGGTTGAATAATGGCACCACGTTCTGAAGATATATTTTATAAACATAATTTCACTTATGTTTATTTATACTGACAGAGAAGATGCTGAACTTTATGCCACTGGAGAATTCTGACCTGTCATCCAGCTCGGATTAAACTAGTTTGTTTTGAAATGTGGTCCGTCCCCAAAACATTCTATTGATTCCAGCAAGCAACTTTCATATATCACTTTCCATATCAACCTTTTTTCAGATGTGGTAATAGTAGACATTTGGCAGCAAAAGTGATAACTGGACCAATTGGAGCTAATCATTTTCATTTTGGCTGTTTCTGGGAACTATATAATCTTCATATCATTTGCAAATTTACCCAAATATTGAGTAAACAACAATGGTTTAGTCAATTCTGAAGGAATTTTTGTTTTAAACTGCTCCAATTTGGATCTTTTAAACAATTGTTTTTTGCCCAAAACTAAAATCTAAATTGTCTTCAAGTTTTGCACAATTTCTACTAGTTACATTGACATTCTTTACCCCAAGATTGGCCCAAATCCAACATCTCAAAGTTGCATTTGTTCCTGATTTTACAAGTGCAGAGTGTTGAAGCATTAAGCCTTCATTCACAATTCTTAAATTCACATTCGGCGCCGCGTTAACCAGCTACAAAAGCCCCACCAACGCAGCCAATATTTCTGACAAAAACATTGCTATTATATTTAACATATTTATATTTATATATAAACAACAGGAACAGAATCTCGTGGTTAACCTTGTCCTAATAATAATAATAATAATAATTAAACTTCATGCAATTGGTATGAGCCTAAGACACAAAAAATTAGAAGGTTTTCGGAAAAATTTACAGAAAATTCCCCATAAAAAATGCGTTAAAAAGAGCCACAGAGGACAGTTATTGGCATTTGGTCGCACAGTAGCGCCCTCGTGTGGAGCTCCTGTGTAGTGCCGGTGTGTTGGAGGGTGGAGGTGAGTTTAAGGTGGATTTTGGGGTGTTTTCAGTCACACATTTCCTCTGGGATCTCATGTGGATTCAGGATTCCAGGCACAGACATCTGGATTTTGTGTTTTTCCTCTTGGGCCTGACGCAGAGACGCCTCACGCTCTTCCAAAAACAAGTCCGTCGTGTCCTCGCCCGCAAACTCCTGTAAGACAAAACAACAGAGTGTGACTTCACTGAGACAAACTCCTGTAAGACAAAACAACAGAGTGTGACTTCACTGAGACAAATAACAGAACGTGAGTGACACTGAGAGCAGTAGTTGAAGCCACATCGTGTTTATGGCGTGTGGGCATGGAGACCGAAATGTCTCAATAATGTTCAATAATGTCTGAATGTGTTTAAGGTATTTTAGTGTAAACTTGTTACACTTGATACGTTTCTACAGTTTTGTATAGAACTCATTCTCGAGGAGTGAATGGCACAGCTGCCCTGGGGCGGGGCCTCACTTCGGTCAGTCACTCACGCCCACCACATTCGTACTAGGCGAGGTGGGTGAAGTCATGTGTCTTGCTCATGGACACGACAGCAGCATGCCCTGGTCTGACCCTTAGTGCACAAGCTATCTGACCTCTGCTCCACCTGCACTGTATGGAGGTGGAGACTGAGTGTTGAAAGTGCTTTTTATAACTTGAGTAATTGGACTTCCTTCAGCAGAAATAGCTCAAACTGGGTTTGATTACTTCCTCGATATAGTTATGGCAGTGCCCTCATAACCCTGCCTAACTCAGGGCCACAACTGTGGATTTTAAAGGCCCTCCACCTGATTTTTAGTGTTGAAAAAAAACCAACCAAAAACAAAACAAAAAAAACAAAAACATGAAAAACAGAACTAGTTAAACAGTTTATGCATTATACATTCAGAACACCCTGACTATTCACCATGATGAGTTTAGAAGCAGAGTGGAGTTTTCTGCTGGGGCAAAACCAATCTGATTTCATTTTATTTAAAAAATGTGTAAAGACTCTTTAAACTCTCTAATAACCTGATGAAGCCAATATTAGAAACACGGTTCGTTTATTACCCATGATCCTCTCTGACTGAACCACTCTAAAGGAAAAAGTTATTTAAGGAAACAACAGTGGACCACAGTATGCAGAGTATGCAGATAACCTCTCATCAACTCTCTGGGACTAAACAGATCAAGTCCTGTTTTAGTTCTGGATTAGACCGGGTTCTGAGGTTTGGGTACAATCCAGGTTCAAGTTCAGGGTGGTCCTACGACTAGTCGGGAAATATTAGAATTAAAATATTAGACCTGTTTTTGAAGGTTTAGTCCTGGTTTAGTCCTGGGTCTTGTTTCAAACCCAATAAATCCTTGGCCTTCAGCGCCCTAGTCTCATACAGGTTTATTAGTCTGCTTGATTCGTAGTCTGTGCCATAGTCCTGGTTAAGTCCAGGCCTGGCCCGGATTTAGTTTTAGTTATGGTTTGAGTCGTGACTCACCTTGATCTGGACCAGGAAGTCTCTGAGGTGCTCTTTGAAGGCAGGAATGTCCTGGTTTAGACTGAAGAGACCGGTCACAAACACCTTCACCTGGGCACTGACAAACAGACAGGACAATTACAATAGAAATGATACAAACAAAAGCATAACAAATATGTTCAAATTAAGTCTTAAAAGATCAGTTATTTTAGATTTAGAGCTCAAAACATCTGAGTCTTTTCTCTTCAAATATATTCAAAGTAAAGCCTCTGCTCCATCAGACCAGAGTTTATTCTGACAAGAAATTTTGAATTGTCTGCATCTGATTCGCTCTTCTGCATCCTCTGCTCCATCTTGACCCTCTCCTCTGGTATTTTTCCCCAACACATTTACAAATACTACCATCTTTCCTCTAAACAAATCCACTCGTCTCTTGTCTCCATGACAACAGGAGTTTCCATGGAGCCATTTGACAATTAACTATTTTCACACATTTATGCATTAATTATCTCCACTGTGTGTAGAGGTGCTGTTTGTATTGTACTAGCATTATATAGAGCCTGGAATAGTCACAGTTTATTTATTTTTGCTCTGGGTTAGAGTGCTGCTTCAGTCACATCTGAACCTGGTTTAGTGTTTGGTTTGGCTTGTAGAGCTGTTCACAAGCACAGTCTCCTGTAGGTGAGAGGATGCTCTAAAGCAGCACTTTCTCTTGTAGGTGTGGGAATGCAGACCTGGCATAGTCCTGGTTTAGTTCTTATTAGTCACTCCTGTAGATGTGGGAAGGTGGTCTTGGTCCCTGGTCTAGTCCCTGCTTCAGAGTACTTACTCTTGTAGGTGTGGGAAGGCGGTCTTGAGCAGGTTGGCCACATACTCCTGGATGAAGACCTGGTTGTTGGAGGGCGTGGCTGGGTTCAGGGCTGTTGTGATCTTTCCTTCCTCCACCAGGTTGAACATGTAGGCCAGGATGGACGCGTGCATCGTCAGACCTGAGAGGGGACACCAGTTTACACACAGTAAGAAAGATACCACAGTGCTTAACAGTCTGGGCCACTTTGAAGCATGTCATACTTTCAGAAGTACATAGTACAATTACAAACCCATTTATTTAAAAAATAAAAAAGTGCTTAAATCGCATTAGTCACCTTAATTAAAGAAATAGTCTGCAGACTAGCGCTTTAGAAAGATGCTGTGCCCAGTGGGAGCTGACGTCACCTTAAACATCATCATCACAGCACAGAGTCGGTGTTTCGGATTTGTTGGGGCCGATTTGTACGTGGCTCATATTGTGCACGCCACAGAAAATTGCCCAGTTTAACCTAAAAATGTTCTTCTGTGGCTTCCTTTCCACCCTGTCTGAAGTGGGAATGTGGATTTACTCATCTGCACTAAAGGAAAGCAGTGAGAGTAAGGTTTATCAGTGACACACACATGTCTCCATTGGAGTCAATACAAACAGGCTGTGTGAGTCGGGGCAGTACCACATTCACACATATGAGCTGACACACCCGCTTTGCCTCATATACCACTGGGATGATTTAATAAACTGATACGCACTCAAAAGAAACATTGATACAGCAGGTTTATTAAAGCTGGGTCCTTGGTCCTTGCACACCACGCCCACATCGCCCCATGTGACGTAACACCACAAACTGATCTGTAACACCAGCAACTCCCATGGACAGCTGCACATCACACTAGTGAGCAGCAAGTTTTTTTTTTTATTTGTACCAAAATGATTACTGCCCAATGCTACACCTATCACTGATTGAGTGATTAAAGATTACTCAAAGATGCTGAATCACTCCAGTTACAACTCCCAGAGGCTCAACATGAAGGGGGAACAGCTAGAACATGATTAAAAGTCAATTTTGCATAATAGGTCTCTAACCTGCACATCCAAGTTTGTCTCATTCTAAACAGGCCTCATGTGAAGCTCACAACCACCAGAATTCCCTCCCTGAGCTGCAGAGGCTGCACTAGCACTGACTCATGACTGGTGCAGGGGCTGGGGTTTAGGGAGTGACCATCCAACTTGGCTGTCATGTCTAATGTTTTTATAACTAAGAATAAATTAAAGGTACTTATTGTCCCCGTAGAGAAATGTATCCTCTGCATTTGACCCATCCTTCACTGCAGCTGAGGCATCCCCTGAGCGTGTGGCGCACAAGGACCCATCTCTGTCATCTTCTTGCTAGTCTTGGTCAGGACTTCCTTAACTGGAGGACTGTACATATGGGTCAGTCTGTATGAAATCAGCCATTTTCAAGGAATCTCCCCTATGAGCCATCTCAGATTTGGCTGAAAAAATGTCAAAAAATTTCTAAAATGACCAAATTAAAGAATCTCAAATTTTAGCTTAGTCCCTTGAGTCGTTCCTGAGTTATGGCCCGTTGAAATTTTGGGGCCATGCTCACTTTTTCTGAAGCCTTAATTTATAAGCATGTTTGAGAGACCATAACTTCATAAAACATAGAGCTATGAAGCTGAAAATTGGTATTATTGTAGATTCTTGGTCATAGATTCTGAATCTTTAGTCAAATATTGGGTATCTTTATTAAGGGGGGCACTGTGGGCCCCCAGAATGTCACATTTGTTTGCCACTGAATTTTTTTTTTTCAATTTTTCAGGTCCAAGATCTATTTACTCCAAGCAGATATTTACAAACTAACTGCTGAATCTGAATCTCAAATTGTCTTCCCTCATAACATGCAAATAGTGTTTAAGTCTATTAAAGGTAATTGAACCTTTCTAGCAGGTGGATAAGTCCCTAAGATCCACCAAAAATCACCTGTGAGATCTCATTTTCAAAAATTCTGTTTGAAATGAAGGAAGTTAATCGTAGATGTTTTTATTACTTTAAACTAATCAGAATATGCCAAAGTTTCTTTGGTAAAATATTTATCAACATCTAACTGTGCCCACATGGGGAACCGAGGGTCCAAAGAAGGGGCCAAAAAGATCACATTTGGTCTGTGACCATATTTGGGGCTCTACACCGTCCACATGAAAGCTCAGAAAAGTGTGAGATTGTTGTCAGAAATGGTCATTCTCTCAAATATTCAGGTTCAACAGTTAGTTTGTAAATATCTGCTTGGAGTAAATAGATCTTGGACCTCAAAAATTGAAAAAAAAATTCAGCGGCAAACAGATGTGACATTTTGGGGTCCCACAGTGCCCCTTAATAAAGATACCCAATATTTGACAAAAGATTCAGAATCTATGACCAGAAACCTACAACAATACCAATTTTCAGCTTCCTAACTATTTTTTATGAAGTTATGGTCTCTCAAACATGCTTATAAATTAAGGCTTCCAAAAAAGTGAGCATGGTCCCAAATTTCAAAGGGCCAAAACTCAGGAACAAATCAAGGGATTGAGCTAAAAATTTGAGATTTTTTCAGCCAAATCTGAGATGGCTCATAGGGGAGGGCTTCTGATTTCATATGGACTGATCCATATGCTACTGGGTCAAATCTGCATTACAATTGTTATCAGCAAAAGCTCCATTTGATTTGACCATGTTTACCTCATATCTGGGGACTGGGATGGGTCATATTTATGGAATTTAAAATCTAAACCTTACATTAAGTTCACTGAAGTGTTTTAGTCTTTTTTCTACAGTAGCTCAGTGTCAGATCAAATAGCCTCCTCTCTTCACTTGCGTGCACAGTTTGGCCTGTAGTTGACTCTCTCCACATGAGTCGAAGAGCTTCGAGTGGCTCTGGTTTCACTGGAGAATCCCATTGACGCTTCGGCCCAGTTTCAAAATAAATGTTCTAATTTTAACCCCACTCGCCCCTCGTAGTGTTACTGTCCATTCATAACCCTCTGCTCTGTTCAAACTCCTGAGGACTGAAAGATGGTGCTTTAGACTCGTTTTTAGAAAGTTCCTTCTAATAGTTACACTGGCAAATTCTCACATGAAATTCTGTATTGTGTAATATATCTTTGCAGATCAAGTAAATAGTAGTCATTTGTCTGATCTCTTTTGCTGAGCAGGGCCTGGTCAGTACTTGGATGGGAGACGGCTGTGAATACCAGGTGCCACAGTGGGAAAGCAAATTGTTGCTGTGTCCTTAGGCAAGACACTTTACTCACATTATCTAATATCAATGTGGTCAGTAGTTTACCATCAAAGTGTGGAGTGAATGAATAAAGCTCTGTAAACCACTGTGAGTGTCTTAAAAGGTGTTATATAAATCCAATGCATTCTTAGTTTCATTTGAAAATGCAAACGGAACTTTTGTGGTGGGAGGGTCCACCACCTGCTGTGTAGAGAATATTGATTTGCCAATCAAATGGAATGACAGTGTAAAACATATCGATCTTGTATTTCTACAAGCTCAAATAAAAACATGCATTCTTAACCTCTCCACACACGTAACTTGTAACTTGGCCTAGTGGCGTCACCCGTCTCAGTGGAGATAGATCATTTTAATGCTATACTGTGGGACATTACAGGCAAATCAATTACATCTCCATACAACAGGTAGCAGAACCTCCAGCAGAAAAATGCACCTTTAGCTTGACTACGATTTTTTTAGTTGCAGATCTGACCTGCAGTGTGTGAGGTGTCAGTGACCACAGAGAAGATGTGCTGGAGAATGTCACAGAAATACGTCTGATAAAAGCTCTGAGCCGCCGCCTCCTCCTGAGCCACATTCTGCAGCATCGTGTAGAGGATCTGAAGACCTGAACACACACACACGCACAATACAAGTGTTAACAACAAACATATTAAAGGGCACACATTACACTTTTCTCTGACCTATGCTATAATGTCACCACAGACATACAGTTGTGTTTTGTTTCATTCACTCGTGTTTAACATACAAACCTGCATAATTTAGGATGAGATCTTTCAAATAAAAAACATTTTTCATGTCATGTGATAATACAGGAAGTGCTCCACTGTGTTTTTAAACTCCGTACACCTTCACTAGACATTTTGTTCCACTAGCTATAAGCAAACTTGGGTACTGAATGTGTTTTTTAGTAAATGTTTTCTTTGTGTTAGTGCGACACACTACAAGATGTTCAGTCTTAAATTATTTTTAAACATGTAACAAAAAGCGCAAACCACAGATATGACGAGAATCAAATGAAATTTTAAATCTCCAAGTGCAAAGACTGCAACAAAGAGACTAAAAACAAAGCGAGCACACCTCACGTTAACTGTTTCCTGCATAAAATCACTCGCTTTGAGACCCCAAAGTGTTGAAAAGATCAGAGCACTGCACTTTTAGTTTAGGTGCAAGTCAAAACTTTGTGATTATTTGTGAAATGTAGTGCAATAGTTGAGATAAATGATTTTAAATGCACAGAAGGATGGAGGTAAAGTCCACAGGGAGTCGAGCCACTATCTGCAGCTTCACCCTGACCCTTGCTGTACATGTGTAAACAGACACATATGAGGAACTGTTAAACAATGCTTCAGACTGGCTCTTTTCTGGACTGGACTGGGTGTCATTATTTGTGGAGGACACATTCTAATGGACAATCTGAATGAGATGCTGCAGTTTAAAGGTAATAAAGTCGCCTTATTATTTTCACTAAAACAATGACAGAGTCGCACTGGCACCACACACACGAGGAGCGCAGAAAGCGCTTCAAAAATCACTCAGGGGGATCCAAACTCACGTCACATCTCCCCAGTGTTGAGGACAAGAATTTAGACCACTAATTTGGTTTCTGGTGGTATTTCAAAAGTCAAATATTACTTTAGGCAAGTGCCCAAGGCAGCTGTGGCCATAGAAATAAAAACACCGGGGACAGAAAGTGAAATCAACTGGAACAAGACACTATAATAAACATTAGAAAATAAAGACAGCAAGGCTCATAAGGAATAAATCAATACTATTAAAAATTCATCTTAATTTCCACACACTACTATTATTATGAGCTTCAAATGTGACCCATCCCTCACCAGTGTCTGCCACGTTCCTCATGGTGTGTTTAAAGGCCCAGATGATGGAGTCCAGCACCAGTTTGAACTGAGCCGGAGGAATGGCCAGAAACGCAGGGAAGCAGTGAGAGTTTACGGCCTGCAACAGGTAGAAGAAGTGAGTCCTGTGCTCCGGGAACTCCTCAAAGTTCTACGAGGGAAGAGAGAAGAGAGAGAGAGGCCGATTATTACACGCTTTATTACTTGCTTTATTACATGCTTTATTTCATGCTTTATTACATGCTTTACAAATGTCATGGATGATGTAAAAACAGGAAATACAAGAGGGTTTTCCTAAAGCAGCAATGAAGTGGATGTTTGAGGTCTCTTAATCAAAACAAAGGTGTATAGAGCCATTGAGAGTTCCTTTACTTCTTTACAGTCATATTAGCTTATCATTCAAATCACTCAAGAAAATACTTTGCATCATCAACATTTTTGGGAGAGTGAAGCCAGCTAGAGGGAGGCAATGTTCAGGCTGAAGCTCTGTTATTCAAGTTAGATCAGAGCTTTGTTTTAACACAATCCGAGCATAAAAAACAGACTAAGTTGAAACTACGAACATCCCCTCTCAAATATCATATGCCAACAGTTTCTCTCTCATCTTTTTGTTGAAAATGAAACTCCTAAACAGGACCATAAATGCCCATACTAATCACAGAAAATGTGTTGTCTAAATGCAAATTGTCAATAGTGGACCTTTACGGAGCTTTGCAGCAGTTCATCTCTGTGTACCTTGTTGATCATGTTGAGCGTGCACTCGAACACAGCGTCAAAGATCTGCGGTATCTCTGAGGTGATGTGTCCACCCAGTTTGTTTACGATGGTTGCCATGGTGCTGAGGACCTCGGGCTCTCGCGCCGCAGGGACATTCCTCTGATAGTCTATGAGCACAGCGTCCAGGAGAGGGGGCACAAAGTTTTCCCCAACCTGAAAAATATGGGAAAGGTGCCAGAGTAAAGCATTACACTTAAGGCTGCAACTGACTGACGATTATTATAGTCAAACGATTATTTTTACTGAAGACTGGTTGAAATACGGTGACTGACTGCTTCAAAACAGACGATATTTATGAAAAAACTGTATGATTAATTCAGGATGCATTGATCCAGCTCTGATACCAATATTGATACTTATAAGTATCTGCCGATTCCCCACATTAATCATTACCAGTGTTTTTTTTTCCCCAAAAAACAGCTGGATCCAACTGTGTTATGCATTTGTTATTTGTCTTGCAAATAACAGCTTCGTATGAATAAGTAAAAGTACAGACCTTAAGGGACATCCTAGGTCTATATCAATTCAATCCATTTTTATAGATGACTAGTCAGAATTTGTCGATCAATTTGCAGCCCGAAGTACATTATACAGCGTACAACACAGTGATAGTGAATTTAAGCTCCTCAGGTAAAATTTACATTAATTTCTCAACAGATTTTGTAAATGTTTTCTTTAATATGACATGGCTCTGCCTTATTTGAGAAGCACTATTTTAGAGCAACCCCACACTTCTCCAGAGATGTAAACATATACAACTGTCCGAAACATTTGACATGAATAAGTTGTTGTAGCCTCTCACCATCTGAGGGTCATTGGAGCGACTGACCCATCCAGAGATCAGTTTGAGCGTTTCTCGTTTGACCGTCCTCATGCTGCGGATCAGAGGCTGCTTCGTTACCACCTCCCCTGAAACAGGAAGGACAGAATATATTGATATAAAATATTATTATACATAAGGATTTATGAGGGATACTTTGCATATGAGAAATATGATTTTAAGTTAACATTTAGACACTAGTAAATGTAACTAATTGAATATTAATGGTGTCAAAATGACAGCACACTAAACAGAGCCTAAACCAGATCATAGTCTGGTTTGTGACTCTCTCAGTATGGGCGTCATGTTGGCTGACTACGTGCTATGCTGAGTATCCTTGAAGATGTGGTAGAAACAGAACAAAATGTTTCAAATCTTAAAGCTGCACTGTGTAACTTTTCTGGTGGAGTGTCATCTCTTCGTCTCCATTGAGATGTTATTGCTTTGGCATTAAATATGTCTATCTTCTATTACAGTTGTTTTTATTGCTAACAAAATTTGCTAGACTTCTAGTACTAGTATTTTTCTTGCAGATGTTGAACAGTTTAGTGATGTGTTCACTGCTGCAGCTCCTTCAGTTTGAGACAGACGCAGAGATGAGTCACCAGGGCATTTCAAATACAGCTGCCACAAAATCCCCCAAAAAAACAAATCAACAGATACAACCCCAGAAGTGTTGCAATAAACATTATAGGTCTGTGTCAACTAACTGAAAAGGGCCGAATAATCAGTCAGTTAATTCATATATCCATTTGTATAAAGGCATTCCATGTGCTCTGTGGAATGAATTAACCATTTCCAAAAACAAAAAATCTATAGTCTTCATTTATTAAATTGATAATGAAACAAAATATAATATCACACAAAAACAGTCACTAAAACAGGTCGAAAATACGACTAAACTAGAACCAGGACTAAAACAAGTCCAAAGCAGGAGTCAACCAAAAGTAGAATTAAACCCAGTCTAAACCTGGTCTAAACCTGATCTAAACCCGGTTTAAACTCAGTCTGAGCCTGGTCTAAGCCCAGTCTGTACATTTCTCCCTCACCGTTTGTCTGGATGGCAGCAGAGATGTTTTCGCTCAGGCACTTGTACACGTTTAGCATGTCGAGGTAAATGCGTCCGAGCTGGATCACAAATGGGTGTCCCACAGCTTTACAGGCGCGAACGTTGGTCTTCAAAATGGAGCCCAGCTGTTTAACCGTCTCTGCGTCCTTCAAGATGTCCACGTTCTGAGGAGACGAGCCAAGGGACAGTGTCAACAAAAAATGAAATGAGTCTGTAATTGCTTTGTTAAAGGTCCTAGCTTTAACCTTCTCACGTTTGAGTAACCCTTCATTATTAATCTACCTACAACTTCAAAGCTCAAAATGCTCTGTTCTACCTTATGACATCATGAAGTGGTAGTTTTGGTTAATGGCTACCACCTTTTCCCTTTAGTTCAGTACAGACTGGCAGGGGGCAGTACCCATGTCATTATCACATGACATCACAACATGCAGTGTCTTCTGTTTGAGAGAAGAGCTTAGCTTAAACGTGCTGGGTTTGTGTGTTGAACATATGTGAATGAAACAAAACAACTCCAACAGTAAGAGATGAAGATGAGTGCTTCAGTGAGTCA